ATGTGAGATAGTTAGCGTGATGCAAAGAGTGGACCACCCTCCCAGCGTTTGTTTAAAGCAAAAGTGGTTTGTCTTAGAGATTACCCTTGTGTAAACCACAAACATTTATAGCTGGAAACAAATGCTTGCAAAGTGTGCCTATTAGCCTCTAATGCCTTGTCTTTACTTGAAAAAATGATGCAATCCTTAAGTCCATGGGTGCAGAGAAAAGTAATTTGAAACACTGCCAAGTGAGACTGGCTTGGACATGCATCAAAAGGGTATTGTTCAACCTTAGGACACACATGCAGCCCCTGTGGCATCCCCTGGCTAGAACTTTTCAGAAGTGCTGCATCGCATGCAATCATGGCTCTCCAGCCAGGGACAGCAAGAGGAGGCAGCAGGCAGCTCCGGCTCCACCCCACAGGGAGGAGAGATAGAAGGGAAAACTCAGAGTCTGGGCAGGGCACCAAATCCTCTGCACCTCTCCTCTAGAGAGGATTGGACTTGAAAGGCCTGGCTTGGGGGGGAATCTGGGAGTTGGCAGCTGGGTGATGATGAGGCTGGCTCCAACTCCAGGAGGCCATCTCCAGGTCTAGCTTGGCTCCAGCAGCAAAGGAACAGCAATTCAGACAAAATCGCTGTGCACAAGTTACAAAAAGTGAAACACTTCAAAATAGTGGCTTGTTTCAAGAAAGACTCTTTTACAACACTGGAAAAGGCATATACATGCGTCTACTTGGCCATTTGAAATGCTTAATTTGTTACTTCTGTCTGCACCCCATGTTAACCAATACGTGATAACTAACATGAGGTACACTCCTAGCAAAGATAAGGCATTTTGTAGTTGTAACGTGGCAGCAGGTAAACAGAGGTAAGCTGCTGCTAGCTCGCAGCCCTTTCATTCTAAGTGCCCATGAGTTCAGAACCGTGCCTTTCTCTTAGCGAAGATGCACCCATTCCTTTTTCATATCAGTACATCAATTTTATTTAGGAGTCGAATTGTTACCAAAGCAGTTAGCCCAGTATAACTCCTAATGCAGACACAGGAGGCACTTATAAATGTGCCCCGGGATGCAGGGGAGCACTTCAATTAGCGAGCCACACTAATTACAAGCGCCCGAGCATCATGTGCATCAGCATCCTCATGCTGAAAAATGGTGGCAGGGTGCTTTGAACTAAAGTTCATCAAACAAGCTTTAGTTTAAAACACCCTACCAACAGTTTTCAGCATGGGGATGCTGATGCACATGATGCTGGAGGCTGCTGGAACATGTTAATTTCTGTGCTCCAGCAGATTTGATTAATGGAGTCTGCTCCAATGTGCTGGATTTACAGTATGTCGGAGCAGCCTTGCAGCATGTCTATACGAGCCTAGTAATAGCAGTCTAGTTTATGCCCTTTCTGTTACAGAAAAAGCTACAGAAGTTTAAAGCAATATAGCTATGTCCACATTTGAGAGCTGTATCATTTTAACAATTGCAGGATGGTTAAAAAAATCTGACTTTCAAGCATAGACAGACTTTTAGACTTCAGACAGCAGGGCTCTCATCCAAGCACCTTTTGGCAGCATTAAATTCCCACAGCGTTTAAAACAACCAAAATAAACTATTTTGCTAGTATTCTGAGTGACAGTAAGGTAGGAGCTTCAGCCCTTCACATCTGGCAATGCCCTGTTACTTATTTTTATTGTCTGCTTTTTCCTCCTTTTTAACATACAAAATGGATCAAAGGGTCACAGTATGTTCATGACTGAAAAACAATGTAAAAATTCAGCTTGTTTCTTCAGCTCAGCAACCAAGTGGGTATCATAAGGAATTAGGATTTGGGTTTTTTAATAAAAAAACATTAAACAGAACAATATGAGAGTGAAACTAAGTAAAGATATTATCAGTGTTATCTAGTGTGGGAAAACAATGGCACAACTGCTTTTTATTCTCTGTGCTCAGACATCAACAGAGGTCACTTGCACCAGACTACCATGAGATCAAAGCAGACCATGGCTGAGGTTGGACAAATGACTGTGGAAGGACGGCACCAGCCCACTCTGCATGTGAACTACCTGTAGGTGAATTTCTTCCTCGTTCACCACTTCAAACCACTGAAAATAGAGGGAATTAAGGCAGTGCATAAGCTTTGTGCTGGCCATCTGCACAGGGATCAGTCACTGTGGTTAGTATGCATTTCACTTGCTACTGTAGCTGTAGCACAGTGTAGACTAGTAATTCTGAACCAGGGTGTCACAGCACCCTAGGGTGCCTGGAGATCTTTTCAGGGGTGCCGTTGGATGCCACACAAATGTTAGGACTGCTAGGTGTGCACACACGATTCTCAAAATAAACCCCGAGATTTCAAATAGGAATTCACAATGTTCAAAACATCCTGACCTGCTGTGCTCTTTTTGAGTTCTTTGCAACAGAAGAATGGGTCTATTTTTTGTAGCCAAAAATTAAGTGAAAGCTAAGAACTGACAATTTCTGAGGAGGACCTTTAGTTGTAAGGAAGGGTGCCTTAAGTCTAAAGAAGTAGAGATCAGCATAGACACCTTCCTGCTGCAATATCCCCTTAAGAAACTGGATACTCACTAATTAAGCCCCTGCTGGACTCTGTGCTGCTGCAGATAGCACACTACAGTAACCAAACTAGTTTATAGGCACTGCCGGCAGTCCCTCTCCAATGCTAAGAAAGAGCTCTCAGTACACAACACTGAAGTCATAGTGACATCAGATTGCTTGACTATACCGGCATCAACATGGGTGCTACTTGTTATCCCCTGCAATAAGCCAACCAGGGGAGAAATTTCCCCTCCACCACAATGGCAGGGGTTTGAATGCTCAGTATGGTAAACCAGAGGGTCTCTTCATATAAACGCATCCAGTATCAGGACCTTTGATAGTTCTCAGAGTTAACATGAACATGTCAACGTTTGCTCACACTAAGGTTTTCTCAGCCCATTAGAAAGTTGACTGAGCTCCTCTCCCACTCCTGCACTCAGACCCAAGCAATCCCAGCACTTCTGAAATGGCTAGCTGGGAGGAATTCCTGTCTAATTGGGAGAGGCTGGGGCCATGGACAGCCAGTGAGAGCCGGCAGAGTTGCGGGAGCACTGGGGGAGGGTGGCAGAAGTCATTCTGAAGAAGAGAATCTGATGCGTGCGAGTCTTTCTCTGGGGACTGGGAGCAGCTCCAAGAATCTGGATGCGGAGGCAGTTTATTACAGGGAAGATGACGTGCAAGAGGGGCTGAAGAATGGGGCAGACCTCCAATGAGATTTTGTACTGATCATTACCAAGACAGCTTCCATTTGCATCTCCTACTACCTCATCCAGCTGCCTCAGGCTTTGTCCAAGGATACAAAATCCAACAGTTCCTGGCAATTCTGCAGCCAGGGAGAGCAATCTGGTTTCCAGTCTGGTTCCTGCATCATCATCAGAAATGCTATAGTAGCACTGCAAAATCTTTACTGCTGGGGATGATGCACAAACCAGAAAGAGTCTGGGTTGATGCTCAGGTCCCAGCTGAGCTTCCAATTATAAAGATCTTTTTACTTCTTACTTCAGCAGATTCCATACAACGTCTGAGAAGCACGTGCAGAATCTCATTTCATCCACCTGGCCATGTGTAACAGCATCCTCAAGTGAGGAGCGTAGGAACAGTTCCTACCACTGCTCTCACTCATATTCTCCTTCCCATGTATCACCTGGCAAACTGTGTCAAGGAAAGTTTGTTGTTAATTTTCTACCTCTTAGCAAGTATTGTAGTGTAGGAGGAAAAGCTGACAGAAAACATACCACATCCTTGGGAATTTGAGACTGCTGTCCCAGGTGATGAACTTCTTTGGAATCCACTCCTGCAGCCAAGCTGGACACTGGGAGATAGGTCAAAATCTTCATCTCGGAGGAAACTAATGGAAGTAGCTGCTGGGAATTGCTTGGAGTCCAAGTGTAGAAGAAAGCGGCCACTCTTGATCAGTTTTACGAAGCGCCCAATGAGGTTGTCACCAACAATTGTGTTTTCTGAAGTGAAAAGAAATAAAACTGAGAGTTTTGAAAATGGTTCCAACTGGGAAAAAAATTAACATGAGACTGATAATCTTCAGACTAAAGGTACAGGTACATCCAGATTACACACCCAATGTGCACGGACAGCCACTACCACAGTGGGGCCTGAGCCTGATGTGTAGATCATTGGTTTTATATGAATAAATTCATATTGTAAACCCTGCATCAGGATTAGGAGAAAAGTTAGAATAAGATGAATTTCAGATAGTTCAGGGACGGGCTAAATCTGATTATCTGTACCTCTTGTTTCAGTGAGCACTGTTTTTTCTTACCTGAGTTAGTTTTTGTGATCCCTTTGCTTCGGGGGGTTTACTGCTTGCTTGTTTGCCTCCCCCCAGCACTGCCCCCACCCCCCTCCTCTCTCCCCTCTCTCCTGCCTTTGCATTCAAATTTATCTCCTTTTTATATATTACTTTGCGCACATCCTTTCTTTCACAGCATCTGATGAAGCAAGCTTCAGGCCATGAAAACTTGTGCTATACAAATATTTGTGTGTGTGTGTGTGTGTGTGTGTGTGTGTGTGTGTGTGCGCGCGTGCACGTGCTATATGTATATAATCTACTTTGGTTAGTCTAGAAGGTGCAAGTCTACCCTGCTTTCTGCTATATATTATTGTATGCGTGCTATAGTATTGCATGGGGTTTTGGTTGTAGCTGTGTTAGTCTAAGGACATAGGCAGGCAAGGTTCTTGAGCTCTAGGACAACTCTGTCGTAGAGCTCAAGATTAGGATCAAAGTTAATCCTTGCTTACAAAGAAAGGTGAGTGCACCTTTCTCCTTCCTGTGTGCTGATCTCTCCTATCCCTTCTATAAGACCAGTCTCCTGCACTAAGTAAATATGGAATCCTTGGTTCTCCTGGTCCAGGCAAAAGGGAGCCGTGCTCCTGGAAGTGTGTGCTTCCTCCTCCTATGAAGGAGTTTTATTTTTCTGCACAAGCTTACAGCTTTGTTTGAAATGTTCATATACTCTGTGAGTTTGCAATCTGAGGGTTGTCATGGCCCTGGCCGATGCGCAGCATAGTAACGGAGCAAACAGGAAGCCGTCCACAAGCACAGTCTGTACCGTACTCAGTTCTGCTGCAGTGACACATGCGGGCTTTGAACAGTGGGCTTTCGAAGGGAGCGTGTTAAGTGCGTAAACAGAGTCAGGAATGCAAACGTTTGCCTGCTACACCATTTCAGCAGAGCAACTGATGTGCCCAAGGCAAACAAATCATTGTACTGCTGCACTTCTATGTGGCTTTGTGCTGTAACCCATGAGCACATTTCCAGCTAAGCAAAGTGCCCTTCTTGGGAAAATTTCACGGGTAGGTGAAAGCCCTTAATGACGCAACTCTGCACAGCTGGTTGCATTGAATAGACTATAGAATTATTATGCTTATTCTGCGTACAAGCATTTGTGGCCCTGCTGTCTTACCCAGGGTCCACACATTATTGCTGCTATGTGGGTGTTATTCACCTCTGCACAAAGGACTAACGTAAGACCCACTTCTGGGTCTGTGTAAATCCCACTTCTGAACTAACGTGGTGCACAGACCTTGCGTTAGTGGAATATTTGCAGGTCTGTGTGCTTATGACTTCACTGCTGTTATTCATCTAGCTTTAACCAATATATTTTTTTCTGATACAAACATACATACTTCAAAGCCCAGACCCAAAGAATAATATGGAGATCACAGTATTTGGTATTCACCAAGCAACCAATACCTTGGCAGTGTTTTTACCAAGAACTGTCTGCATAACTGAAGGCTCAAATAAGTAAGTTAGCTTCTTACATAAGCAAATGCACTTCTGAATTATCCTGTCATTAGCTACAGCAGATAAAGGTGGTCTAAATGACAGCTGTAGGCATAGGCACCAACTTTTATTTTTGCCAGAGGTGGCCCAAGATGATGGACATGTGGAAAGTTTTACACATTTCAGGTGACAGCCCTCTTCCTGAGGGGGCCAGGGCCCTTGGGCCCCCCATATACTTAGTGCCTCTGGCTGCAAGAAAATCATATGTGGGAAGGCAACAGAAGATCAAATCTGTAAGCACAGGCTCTGTGTCTAAATTTCCTTTAATTGCATATCATTTAAATATGTCATACAAAGCCTTAGATTTGTAGCTTAGGGAAATATCTCTCTGCAGGCACACACATATGCACACACTAGCACAACACATGCATATACATCCATGTCTCCATTGATGGTACATCAAGAGGCAGAATGGTTCATTGGATAGGCCACTAGATTGGGAGTTGAGGGGCCAGGTTGTTTTCCTCTTGTTGTTGGCTTGGTTTTTTTTTAATCACCCTACTATAGGACTTTGGCCTCTAACGTTTCCATGATTCTGCGTCCTCTTAAACTTCCTGCCTATATCAATTGTAAGCTATCAAAGGCAAGAGTAGGATATTTCTTCCCATGTGCGTTTGTTCAACACCTAGCACAATAAATCCAAGATCTTGCCTAGGGTTCCTAGGCACTACTACAACACAAGTCATGTGTCATATATTCATTCAAATCCCCACAAATGTTGCAAAGATTCTAACTACTTCTGCTATTCTACTCCATAAACAAACTAACTGGGGTCCACATTAAGGGCATATCTGCACCAGAGCAGCAGTGTGCCCCACCAGGGACATTTCAGAGCACCCCCTGCTCACTCACATGCTCCAACCCTGGAAGTGCAGCGGTGAAGACGCTTGGAGCATCCCTCTGCAGCCACTCTTGAGACACCAGTCTCCAGTTTGTTCCAGTACAGCCACTGTGGACAACCCCAGAGTGGCCTCACTAGCATTCTTCCAGGTCTGAAGCATGAGAACAGGAGCCCATTGGCAGGGTGTGCTCAGGAACATCCCACACGGCCAACACAGCATGGACGTACCCTGCGATTACCACTGTTTTCAACAGAAACCATATGGGAACCTGGTCCAGGGCCAGTGGCGCCCAAAGGATAAGCTGTCAGATGGGGAGGGATGTGTCGACGCATCCGTTTTTCCCTTCAAGGAAGTCAGGATCAAGGTAATTTGCCTTTGTTCAGCCTGCATAGCAAGCATTTCTGACACCTGTACCAACGCACATATAGCCCGGATGCCATTGCACCAGGTGTGTTCAAATATGTTTGGCTGCCATTAGCTGCAATTGCTATAAGTAACACTGCTAAACCTCTCAGGATTGGGGCTCTGCTCTGCTAAATGCTGTGTAAACTTAAGAGACAGCAGTAGGAAGAAGATATTTTATCACATGTGAACAAAGGAGCACCTGATTCACAAGCAAAACCATCTGTTTACACAGAGAAGTAGATCTACACAAGTGAGCTGTCTCACTGAAGTCAATGGGGCTGCCTGTGTGAACAAATCTGGACGCGTTCATCGATGTTTGTAGTACTGGGGCCTATGCTCGAACACCAAGACCTGCAGAGTTTGTAATACTGATCGCACAGTAAACTACCGTCTTATAATTTAATACACAAGAAGCAGTAGATAGGGTGCACAACCAGGGGGCGGATGAAAGCATTGAGACAGGTCCTTGGTGAGAGAGAGAACATTTAGAGTAGTAAGAGATGGAAGCTACTATAAGAATGGTTGACCTTTGCATGCCTTCTGCAATCATTAAACTGTACAAAATAGCACAAGCATGAAAAAACAGGATGTTTTATATCAGCCTGAATTAAATTCAGACTTTCAACTGCTACATTATAGTGTGTTATGATAGTGTGCCCTAAAAAAAATTTTAGGGCATAGGGAAAATTGTAGTGTGGATAGGGCCAAAATGTAATCCCAGTGGTCCAGAAGACTTTTCAAAACACACTTCAATATACAACAAAATGCAATTTGTGCTTTGATCTACAACGTACAGGCAATTTCATATTCGTATTTCCTTATAATCTGGTCCAGCTGAATGGATGTAAACACAAACAGGCTGTATGACCAGTAACCACATAACTGCTACAACCACAGTCAAGTTAAGAAGACTTTTGAACTCAGTTCCGATCGGGCAGAAGCTCTGGAGGACAAACACAGGCTTGAAGCACCAAAATTAGAAGAGGGACCATGTACAGACAGGGTTTTTTATTTTTAGGGCTGGGAATAGCACTACAAAGCCAGAATGCTAGAAATGTGCTGGCACAAGGGGTGCTGGAATCTAGGATGTATTCTTTACCTCTTATTGTAGGTTACAAGGTAGTAGAAGTGCTCCCAGTCTCTGAAGGAAGGAATGCCTTAACTGCCTCTCTTGCTGGCTGGAGAAGCCAACAACGATGACTCCATTATTCAGTGGACACTGGGCACTGAAAAGACAACCACCCTGCTTTACCAGAAGCAGCAGCACGTTAGTTTGACCCAACTTTGCAGCATCCGTATAGATCAGGCCCTTCAGCAGGGCTTTATGGTGCTTTTATCTAAAGGTGATTCAATCAGCTATTAGATAAAAGTACCAAAAAAGCTCCAGTAAGTACCCGATCTATACAGGTTTTGGGAAAGCCAGGTTCAACTAATGTACTGCCTTTTCTGGGTATGCGCTGGGCTCGGCGCAGGAGTGTGCCAAGTTTAAAGCGAAGTGCCATTTTGTTTCGTTTTTCTCATGTCTGCAAGCAGCCTGTGTGCTTAACCTAAGGTGTATGAAGTAAAGAGTTAAGCACGCAGGGCATTTTTACACGTGCTCCAGGACATGGGGGGCATTTTAATTAGAGTGGTTCCAAGAGCCACACTAATTAAAGTGCCTGCAACATCTCATGCATCAGCATCCCCACACTTTAAAATGGCAGCGGGGTGCTTTAACTAAATCTCATTAAACAAGCTTTAGTTGAAAAATCCCTTCCACTATTTTGAAGCGCAAGGATGCTGAAACACAAGACTCAGAGGCTGCTGAAGCGCGCTAATTAGCACATGCCAGTAGACTCAATTCACTGAGTCTGCTTCGACGTGCTGTAAACACAGTGCATCGGAGCAGCCTCAAATACTACAATGACGAAGGCAGTATAAGAATAGAGTTGGACAGAACAGAAGAGAGATATGATGGGAGGAAATAAAGTGAGGCTGACAACCAGATCAAGTAATTTGTGGCACATCTGTCCCCACTGTGGGGGACATGACCAGTGGAAATTGACAGCTGGGATGAGCCTGCCCCTTGCACAAACAGCAATTCTCAAAGGCAGGACCCTCTACATCTGGGGTAGAGGGTCTTGTTGTAAATCCTGGCTCCTTTCCATAGTGTAGAAACCAGTCCAGAAGTGGACGCATATTGGTCCTTCTCATAGCTCATTTCCAAAGACTCTAAAATTCAACTCCGATGTAGGAAGAAAATTAAATGTTTCAGGAACTCCCCTTGCCCCCCTCCCCACCCCTGCAGCTGTTGACATTTCTGGTAGCTGTCTAACGCATGAATATCTCCCAAGAGCAGGCAGCATATTGCAATTCTGCAAAATAAGCTGTGTACAAAGAAACATCAGAGAAGGAAACAAGCAAAATCCATACCAATGTCATGTAAATCAGGGAGAGAAGCTGCTGGGATGTCTTCAAGCTGAGCTTTCCAGGTGATATTCACCCCTAAGCGGTCCGCGGTTAAACAGCTCACCAGCACAGTAGAATCATCACAGAGAGACACCGGCCTACTATTTCCAAATGCGTTTACCTTGATTTAAATTGAAACAGATTTAAGTTAGTTGCCTTTTTATATTCACTGCTACACGTATACCAGCGCTGTGTTCAAAGCAAGTATTTCACGTGGGGCAAAGACTTAAAAAAAAAACAAAATAAAACCCCAAAAAACTTAAAGCGACTTAAGAGTTGAACTAGGCAAATATTTTTCAGGAAATCATTTATTCACCAAATCATTTATTCGCTGCATCATTTATGCAGTTTTTCAGGCAGCCCAAACCATCCCCAAATTCAGGTTGAATTTGACAGGTATGTTAGAATTGTTGAATTAGTTCATTTGGATGTGGTGGAGGTGTCCAATAGGTGGAACGATGTGGTCCAGTGCTTAGAGCACTCGAGTGGAAAAATGGAAACCAGAATGCAACTCCTCTCTCTGGTTGATTTTGAGCAGGGAATTAAAACTTGAATTTTCCACATCAAAGCAGAATACCACAGTTATTAGGGCCATGGGATATTCTGGGTTCTCTCTTAATTGCACCTATTAAATCTGTTTGTATAAAATAATTAGATAACCATTGGAGAAAGCCCTGAAATCCATGAGTGTCCTAATCTTTGCTGCATGGGCTCATTCACAGTCTTTTTGGTATAATGAATATTTAACATGAAAGTGGAACAGCTTCAATGAGAAAGACTAAGACATGACCCATCGCATAATATTCTGTGAACCAGTGGTTAGGGCATGCTCCAAATTCAAGTCAAATCCAAGTCATTATTCTGGATCCTGCAGAAAGGAAATTGAAGTCTGAATCTCCCTCATCCCAGGTGAGTTATTTTGGGGCTCTACAGTAGAAGGCAAGAGAGTGAAACCATTTTCCACCTCCTCCTCTTTGGATGTCTCACTGGCACCTGGGTCCTTTGTCAGTACAGCCCTTTGTTTCTAAACTCCTTTTCTCTTGTTAAAAATGCCCCAGATGAAAATAAAGCAATTAGTTTCATGTAGAATAAAATACTGCGTGCGACTGGAATTCTCATCTCTTCTGCCCCAATCCTGTCTCCATTCACCTCAAAAATTGTTCAGTCAAGCAAAAACAAACTTGACTATTTTGCAATATGCAAAATTGACTATTTTCATAAATTGACTACTTCACAGCTTAAGTCACACGGGCTTTCACTAGACTCAAGACTAGAAATAGATGTTGCTGAATGGAGCGATTCAGCTGTGCCGCAACGTGTCATGGCACGGCTGATTCTTTTCACCGGGCATAACACGTCACCCCTGGTCCCACCTTTGATAGAGCAGAGCAAGAGGCAACATGATTTTGCCTTTTTCCCTGTGGGTCTAGGGTGCTGGGGTGAGCAAGGGAACTGCCACAAGGCAACAGATGTCTGCCAAAATAAAGTGGCAGTCTATTACTCTCTTTTGTAACACTACCTGTCATGTGGCACAATAAAGGATATGGACATCTATTTGCTCAGCATTTGTGCCACCTGAAACATTTTTAAGGCAGCACAAATGAGAAATCAGAGGATCAGAGGACATCTATTTCCACCCTAAGGACGTAACTGCATGGTCTCCATGGGCTGCCACAGAGAATCACTTCCTCCCAGTCACTCAAAATCCCAAAAACGAGCTGGCGTAGAGTAGCCTCCAGTGCATGCCAGGAAGCATGCCGCCCCCCCCCCAAAGCCTTGGAGCGGTGCTGAGGCACACACTCAGGCTACTCTTTGCCTGCTGTTGCTGCTTCATTCCCAGTTCAATGTACACCAAACAGGAGAAAGTTAGCAGTTTGTGCTTCTCGCTGGCAGACACTCCTGGGCGGGCTTCTCATTCCCAGGGGCAGCACAGAGGTAGTGCAGACAAACCCATAGACACCTGAGCAGTTTTCCAAATTATGTCCTGTTTCTATACAACGATATACCAGAGATTGACTGTGAGATCAGGTCCTATAAGTAAAACTCCATTTACCTACAGAATCACCAGAGCATCATGCTAGAAATTATAACACACTCTGTCTACTTTAGGACATTAATCTGCATTTATAACCATAACATCTCAGCAGTTCCCAGTTAACCAAACCAGCACAATGTGGTTCCTAACATGTGTCAGGAACCCTACCTCCTTTTCCTCTTTTTTGAACATGGAAAGCCCTACACTAGCTCAGAACTGTGGAAATAGAGGGGGAGACTGGAACAGGACCATTTTTATCATACAAGTCCCCTGGTTATAGTCCCATTGTGGGGGAAGTGTTTTAGCATTATTTAACAGTGATCATCATACTGCAGGAACTCTTTTAAATATCCTTAATGGTGTTTCATATTCCTTATGTACTACTGATTTGCCATATCTGCTTGAATATAAGATGAGAGGTTTTCACTCCAATCAGCACAGGAAAAACACATTCCTCATCTCACATTTGCACACAAGGAAGCCTCAGTAAGTACTTTGTCTATTATTAAACTGCTGGCAAAAGCAACATGGGCTCAGCCATGGAAACCAACTATGGAGTGATTAAATACAGCCAACATGGAGCATAACTGTAGCACACATGGACCATATTAGGCAAACATGCTAATGGGAACCCACCATAAGAATAGGCTAGTGCAACCCATCTGAATAAGACACATGATAAAGCCCATCGCACTGAGTCCCCCTAAGTGCTGGCTCTTTTTCAATCTCCTCTCTCAACCTGTCACATATGATTAGGGTGGCCCCACTCTCCATGACCTGGAGCCAGACCAGGTTGCACTGTACCTCATCAGCATATAAACTTTTGGAGGATCTCAGGACTTGTGCCAAGGACTCTTGGCTCTACGCATGAGTTGCAAGCTAATTAGCACACAAGGGAAGGGGGGTATCGGAAGTACACACACATATTAAGCAGTGCTGGACTGTGGGGTCACTATGGCTTGAGACACTGTTGATGCTGCAGGGGCCCAGCCCAATGAACTATATGGGAAATCATGAGCCTTTGGGCTTTGGACTAATATCATGCACAGTTTGTGTAAGTATATACTAAAGTGCTGCTTAAAAGTGTATTTAGGCAATATGTGTGCTAGAGCTTACAGCAGTTTCAAAGAAGGTAAATGCCTCAATTCCAGATGAATTAAGTCTGTGTGTTCCCATAGTAATTTGACTATGCAAATTACTATAGGCATGTTTAGTACAAAAAGTCAGTAGGTGCATCTACAGGAGACGTTTACTGTGGAGTGGGCCAATTAGCTCCACAGTAAACATTGTGGCATCTACACATAAATACAAGTACTATCCTGCTCCGGAGTTTTTTACTTCGTAGCACTGCACGTATAGACCCTGACCTGGCTGGCTGAGCCATGAGGGTGCTTCAGTGCGAGGGCTGCTTGCCAGCTGGCCCCATACTGGAGCATTTTTATGCCCCAGCCAGCCCCTCCACAGCACATTTGAGCCAAGTCAGGCTGGCAGGCTGACCCCCTGGGCTCCCTGCCAGCTGCAGCTGCTCTGATCCAGCTCAATGTGCTGTGATACCAGGCACATGTTCAAATGGTGCACCATTTGTAGATGCACCCAGTGTTTTCAAATTTGCTCTTCATTTTTATGTGCTCAGGGAGACCAGGGGCTGACAGTAAGGAGGGAGGGGCCAACAGACCCCCTGTAGCAGTGGGAGGGAGACCATTTCAAGGCAAAACTCTAATAATTAGATTCTATACCTGGAAAGTTGCAACAAATTTATAAAATGTCCAGATATAGAATCTAATTATTGGGGAGTCATCTTATACTCAGGGTCATCTTGTATTCCAGTAAATACAGTAACTTTACATTACTGGAAACTCAAGACTGCAAGTAACATAGGAGAAGGATGGGGGGTTAGTTTAGGAAATGGAATAACTGTTATGCACAGAAGAGTGAAAGTCACCCTTGCACATGGTACAAGTGCCTGTGTACCACTAATGCCCAACGAACAATGCATACACTTTTTGCTGGCCCAGCATAGAGGGATGAATTTTCCATGGGTAACTGGATTACATAAAGAGAAAAGATATTAGGGTTTGGTAAAAGCTCCTTCACTGCAAATTTTTTAAATTAGGCATACCAAATACACACTATCTAGAAGATGGAGAGATGAAAGTGAGGAAAGCTGAATGTGCCCAAATATCAAAACAAACATCCTAAAAATAACATCACATCATAGTTGGCTGATGTTGCCCAAGTAAGACTATAATTCAGGTTACTCATCCACAGCTGAATATGGTATGAGGCCAAAGCCTTGGGGGGAAAAAAAAAATCTAAAAAAAATCTAATGCTAAATGATGCCCAGGAAATGTTAGATCAGTTTTCAGCTCTGAATAGGGCTCTCTAAAAACACCTGTGCTTTGTCTCTATTCTTTCAGGTTCACAGTACAAGCTGCAAATTTATTTATTTTTTTTATCCACAGAGAAGAATAGAGAAATACCTGAATATGACAGAATCCACGGGCTTTCAGTTCATCTAATATAAAGATCTGGAACGCCTGTAGTAATCCGGAGTAGTCAGAACTGCAGGCCTTCCCAGAAGGCAGCAGCAGCTGGAACTGTGTTTGAGCCTGGACTGTCTGAAATAGCTGGAGCTCTAAAGGAGAAAAGACAGTTTATTATTCATAATATTCATGACCCATGTATAAAAACTGCCTATCAGAATTACCTTGGGGAAATATAATTACATAATAGGAAAGCCTTCAGCATTGTCATACAAGCTTTGATTGTGTATCAGTGGCATTGGTCCATGAATAGTTGGAAGAGGTGGAATTGTCAATGATAATGAAGGAAGACAGAAATTCAGAATGAATATTTCTGTTTTGTGTTAAGAAAAGGTTTGCTGTGATGCTGATGACATACTTTTCATTGCAACATTAACCCAGGAGGATGAGGTCTCCAGACTGTTGATGTTGATTTTTAGTAAGTCTTCAAATAAGGACAATTTCAGAGGAATGGAAAAAAGCTTAACATTGTGCAAATAATTCAAAAAGGATGACTTTGTAAGATAATGCATAGCACTTCATTCATAAAACTAGAACAATACAAACCCAGTGTGATACGTATGTGATAGGTATTAAAAAGCTAGGTAACTCTAAACAAATGGTGGAATTGGCCTGTTTGGATACTGGACAGATGCAGGGGTGGTGACTGCCAACCAATGTTCAATATCGAGCTGGTGAAGGAGCACTTAAAGCAGCTGAATGTTTTCAGGTTGGCAGGACCAGATGGACTGTACCTGAGAGTGCTGAGGAAAGTTGGCTGGAGTCATTGTGGGACTGTTGGCAAGGGTATTTGAAGACTCATGGTACTTGGGAGAGGTCCCAGAACACTGGAAAAATGCCAATGTGGTGCCAATTTTTAAGACATTTGAGCGTGATACTGGGTCAAATTTTGGAAAAAAATTATCAGAAAGTCCATTTGCGAGAGATTGGCACAGGGCATGATGCTGAAGGATAGCCAACATGGTTTTGTTGCAGACAGCTCATGTCTGACCAGCCTAGTCTCCTTCCATGATCAAGTAACAAACTGCTTATATGTGGGAGACGTGGTTTATGTCATATACTTGGATTTTAAAAAGGCCTTCGATATGGTCTCCTATGATGCTCTTATAAAAAAAACTGGAGGATTGTGAGCTGGCAGAGTCCATGGTCAGGTGGGTTGGGAACTGGCTAAGGGGTCAAACCCAGAGAGTGGTAGTGGATGGGTCTGTATCATCTTGGTAGGAGGTGGCCAGTGGTGTCCTGTGGGGTTTGGCTCTTGGGCCCGTGCTGTTCAATATCTTTATCAACGACCTAGAAGAGGATGTGGAAAGCACACTGGCCAAGTCTGCGGGAAAAGCGGGCACACTAGGGGACAGGATAGGATGCACTTCAGTAAGGGTAAATGCAGAGTGCTTTATCCGGGGAGAAGTAACCAGCAACATGAATATAGGTTAGGAGGAGATGTCCTGGCCAGCATGATGGTTGAAAGGGGCCTGGGGTTATGGCTGATCACAGGATGAACATGAGCCACCAGTGCAACACTGTAGTCAGAGCTAACAGCATACTGGGATGCATTAGTCGATGCATCATGAGCAGGGCTAAGGAAGTGATAGTTCTTCTCTATTCAGTGTCGGTGAGCTCCTAGCTGGAGTGCTGTGTCCTGTTCTGGGTGCCACACTTCAAAACAAGACATGATGAATCTTAAAAGGATCCAAAGAAGGGCCACAAGAATGATTAAGAGCCTGGAGGACAAACTTGATGAGGAAAAACTAAAACTTCTGGGACTGTTCAGTCTAAGGAAGAGAAGGCTGAGGCGGGGACTTGGTGGCCATCTATAAGTATATAAGGGGTGAATATCAGGAGCTGGGAGAAAAACTGTTCACAAGGACACCCCAGAGGAGGACAAGGAGCAATGACCATAAAGTGTTAAAGGATGGTTTCAGGTTGGATGTAAGGAAGGACTTCTTTATGTTAAGGGTGACCAGAATCTGGAACAGACTTCCCAAGGAGGTGGTATACTCTCCAACCTTGAAAATCTTCAAGAATAGATTGGATGGACACCTTGCTGGGATCATTTGATCTCAACAATATTCCTGCCAGAGCAGTGGGGTTGGACTCGATCTTTCAAAGTCCCTTCCAGCCCTTAATTTTTATAATTCTATGAACTCATGTTTCAAAATTTAATTGTAAACATGGAATTTTCATTGACTGAGCATGTTTCCAGTAGGAACCTGCAAGGATAAGTTCTTCGTCTGACACAAAATATGACACAAAATAACATTTTTAATAATGACCTAGAAGAAAAAGTATTTTCTGATGGAGTTTGCAAATGACAAGGATTGGGAGGGTGGCAAATAATGAAGAGGACAGGTTACTGATTGCAGGTCAATATGGGTTGTTGGGTAAGCCAGACACAAGCAAACAATATGTATTGCACTTTGGCTAAAGTCAAGAATTCAAGGCATCATTGCATTAGATTCAAGGCAAGAAACTATCCTAGAAAGCAGTGATTGCAAGAAAGACTTGAATTCTGTGCCAATAAATCATCTGCACGTGATCTCCCAGTGTACTGCTGTGGACCAAAGGGGAAATATGATCTTTACATATCGGAACAGATAAATGTGTGTATGCATTTGGATCTGATGCAATTAGTACTGGACTACTACACCCAGATCCAGTGCCCACAATTCAAGAAGGATGTTAAAAAATTGAAGAGGGTTCAGAGAAAAGTCACAGAAATAATGAAAAAAATAGGAAATATGATATATAGAAAAGGATCCAAAATCTATTTAGTTTACAAAGAGAAGGTTGAAGTTTGACTTGGATACACTTTTAGGCGTATACCTGAGAAACACAAAACTCAGGATAGAAGGCTCTTGAGCCTAGAAGACCAGAGCATAACAAGTTCAAACGGCAGAAAGCCGAAGTGAAACAAATTCAGAAACAAAATAAAGTTTAAATCTTTTCAAGTGGGGATCAGTATCCATTGGAACCACTTACCAAGAGCTAGGGTGGATATTTATTTTTCTACAAGTTTTTCTCTAGTTGAAGCAGGAATTAATTCAGAGAGGTGCTGTGGCCTGAGCTTTGTATAGAAGCTCAATTAAATTATATTAATGTATAGATTAGGGCTGTGCAAAATTTCACCGGCTGTTTCGATTCGACACTGTTTCGACTCATTTCAAGCTCGAAACAGCAAAATAGAATCAAAACCATGGGCTTTGAAACAGCCTCAAAACAAAACGAGGCTAGCTGAAACATTTCAAAAGTTTTGAAATGTTTTGAGTTTCAAAGCAGCCAGGTGGTGGGAGACAGGGGAGAACCAGGGCTGCACTCCCAGTCTCCCGCCGCTGGGCTGCGGGAAGCCGATCACAGCAGAGGGGAAGGGAACTGAGCCCGGGGCTCAGCGCAAGGGAAGGGAACTGAGCTATGATGGGGCTGGGGAAGGAACTCAGCCCAGCTGGGCTGAGTTTCTTTCCCCAGCCTGATTGTAGCACTGGGAAGGGGAACTGAGTGATCGGGCTCAGCTCCCTTCCCCAGCTCCCAGGTCCTAGGCGGCAGCACCTGGCTTCCCTCCCTCATCTGGCAGGCAGATCAGGGGTCTGCAGCCCCGGGAGGACTAGCACAGCCCTCCTGGTGTTGCAGGCCCCCATCTACCTGCCAAATGAGAGGGGCTGTTTTGAGCTTCAGCATTATAGCGAATGGGCAAAACGTCGAAATAGTATCACTGTTTCGATGAAGCAAAACGGAACAGCGGTTTTGAATCAAAATAAAATTCAAAAAGGATGTGGAGAAGCTTGAGAGAGTCCAGAGAAGAGCCACACCCATGATCAGAGGTCAGGAAAACAGACCTTACGACAACAGGCTGAGATCTATGAGGCTCTTTAGCCTGGAAAAGTGCAGGCTCAGGGGTGATCTGGTGGCCACCTATAAGTTTATCAGGGGTGACCATCAGCATCTGGGGGAAAGTTTGTTCACCCAAGCGCCCGAAGGGGTGACGAGTTCAAATGGTTATAAACTCCAACAAGACTGTTTCAGGCTGGACATAAGGAAGAATTTCTTTACTGTCCAAGCCCCCAAGGTCTGGAATAGCCTGCCATCGGAGGTGCTTTAAGCACCTACATTGAACACCTTCAAGAGTAAATTGGATGCTTATCTTGCTGGGATCCTGTGACCCCAGCTGACTTCCTGCCCTTCAGGCAGGGGGCTGGACTTGATGATCTTCCGAGGTCTCTTCCAGCCCAAATGTCTACGAAATCTATGAAATGCTGTTCCGTGGAAACCTCAAAACTCAAATCGAAATGGAACGGTGCCATTTCGCGCAGCCCTAGTATAGATCCATTTTTGTTCTGGAAAGGCTAAGATCACTTTAGAACACATTTAAAAAAAAAAAAAAGAGAGGCAACTGTTTAGGCCTTGGATTAAAGGTGGGCATGAACTTCCAATTTCAGATTGATATCTGAAACCACAAACTTATCCGCATTTTTATGAGAAATACATTGGCAATATTCTTATATTAGGTCAAGGCCAGCTGCAGAGATGTAATCCAAATCTGGAGCTATATTGTTTTGAAGTTCATGTATGTTCAAATCTGATGTTTTGATCACATCCCACCTCTGTTTAAAATCACTGTCAAGACCAGCTGATCACCTAGGCTCCAAACAGATATCTGCAGCTTCCATGTTTTGAGGTGCTTTTTATACTTAGAAGAATGAAGGTTGAGGGGGGTGGGGAAATACCAAGCAGCAGCCAGTAAAGTTGGCATTCATCCTGGAGAACAGACTGCTACAGAAAGATGCATAAGTAACACAAAGTTACTTGATTATGCGAATAAACAGTCAACTTCTGCCAAATCCAAACATCTGGTGTTCATCTGCTCTGTCAGGAGTAAGTGGTCCCATCAGACGCATTTTACGATGCCAGCATCTTTTCACTTACAAAGGAAAATCTGCATTTAGATTAAATATCTATCTATTTATATCTATATTATCACAGAACTGGGATAATATAGATATAATAATAATATTATAGATATAATATTAATATAATAATAATATATTATAGATCATATAGAACTGGGAGATTGTTCAGGGCACAGGAGCCAACTGAAAGAAAGCAATGATATGAAGACAGAAAGCAAAATTTACCTACTGCAAGCCCCCACTTTGAAGCTAATCTGACTACTTCCACCTATAATTAGAACTGGCTTCATTTCTATTCACTTTCTTTACTTTTCGTGCATCCTACGTTGGCAAAGACAAAAGCAATAAATGTCGATGACAGCCGAGCAACTTTCTCTCAGTCGGTAGAACAGAGTTAGTATCCTAGCAGTTGTACATACTCTGACAGGTTTGAGAGAGGGGGGGATCTGAAATCCAGCGCCGACTTTCCACGTCACACAGAAACGTCTTGCTGGAAAAGACACTTTGGAAACCTCGACGACAAACCAGTTGGCACTGCTGGGAATTCTGATTTTGACCCGAGATGGTCTCACAAAAAATCACTCCATTGACCACATGCGAGACACTGAATGGCAGGATGCACTGAGGACCTAGGAACGTGAAGAAACGGACACGCAACAGAAGAAAAAAAAAAGAACTATTCAGGGTAAAGTGTCCAAGTAACGGCTATGTCTCATAGTGAGAAAATACACTGCATCCCACCCAGATACACAGCGCACACATTAATGTCAACTTGAACTGAACTTATGTCGCATGCTTCAGCGCTCTATGAAGCCAGTGAAAGGACTTGTATAGTCTCTGATGGGCACTGCATGGCTTAAGAAAACAAATCGGTAGAAAAACGGCCCTGTGTAAGTGGAACGTAGGAGGTGGTTTGTAACCATCAGAGCTGAGTTTCTCAAAACAGGCCAAACAGCCTCTCAGTAGGCCTATGTGGACTGTTTTATACATGGGCTTAAGCCCACCAAGTTACATAAGGACAAAGCCTCTCAGCAGAAGCTGAGCAGATAGAACACATGACTCATTTTAAAATGGAGCCTGATCAATTTCTAAAGAGGACTGCGATTACCAGAGATAACGGGACTGAAGCTGGTGACCCAGGATGACACTTGGGAGTCCTATGCTTCTATGAGAGGGTAATATGGCCGCTCGAGTGGAAAAACATTAGCATCAATTCCATCTTGAAGCAGTACTGATAGTCTATTATAAAACTGTTGAGTTGTTGTAGTTATTACAACCCCATCATTTTGCTCAATATTAGTGCATTCCTAACCCACCAAGCTATAATCAAATATTACAGGCATTAGTTACATTCCTCCCAGCTTCTGGAGAACAAGAAAAGAGAAAATAATTGCCTTTAAATCAGAAGCAGCTATAAAAGTAATGACTTCTGCCTCTCTGGAACTTCTCATCAGAAGCCTCATTTGCTTTCTAAAAATAGCTGTTTTCCAATCCTCACATCTTCGGTGCACAGCACTCCACAGCACCAGGTATGATGGCGCTGAGCTAGAAGAACTCTCGGCTGCTCATTCCCTTACTTTCAAACTCTTACGCTACTTTATAAATCTCCTCAATAGCACCTTTTAAAAATTATGAATACAGTAAAAAGATCATCATGAGACTGCTTTACATTCACTCTGAATGGTTGCAAATATTAGCGCTTTCATTCGCAAGACTGAAACCAGACTCTCCACGCTATCCTGTGGTATAGGGAAGTTAAGCCATAGCCACTTAGCAGTTGTTCCATCTGGGGATAAACTGCAGAGATTTAGATTCCACTTACAGTGGATTAGAACAGACATAAAATGATATCACAGATCAGCCGGGGTCTTTTTGCTGCTGTTGTAAAAACACAGCGTCTTGCACCTTCCACCCAGTCCCTGGCAATTTATCCATAAGGCTTACTAGTCATTCAGTATAGTGTTGAGACTTCTTCCCCAAGCACTTCTAAAAGAGATCTGTAGGGAAGAGCTTCCCTCTGAACTCACAGCTTTCTCTCTCTCCCATTTCTGAGCTGTGGAAAGTGAGCATCAGGTTGGAACATGTGTGCTAGGGAGTATTAAGATACTTGGCATCAAGCTCTGACATACGTTCGCTAGAAGAAGTTGGAGGGGTTCGACCAAACTCCATTATGGAAATGCTTAGTTTAATGAAAACCTTATTGTGTGCACCACGCGCTCTAAAGTTATTATTTCAGTTTACAGCTGTCTGTTTGGATACAGGGGAAGAGATTTATTGTACTCTCCCACCACAACAGACTCCCTTGCTGATGGGCAACGTGTCCAGAATAGTGATATAACTTTGGCCTACCCCTTTTCTTTTCTAAAGAGCTGTTAATAATAATGCTGAGGAACCAGGGGCACAGGCAGGATGGGCTGAAGGAAATAAACTACTGAACCTTTACCCTCTGCACTGCCCAAGCTGTTCACACTGGAAGAAGTCCCATTAGCTTTTCTCGTCCCATTTTCCCTTTCCTCTGTGCTTCCAGAAGCAGATGTGACACAATACTATGAAAAGATTATTCTCAAAGTATTTTCCCAGCCTTACCACAACCAGAAAGTAACAAAAATCTCTTATGTGAGATTTTCAAATCAGTGTTTCTAATCACTTAGAGCTGAAGCAGCATCTAATTTAAAAAACTTCTTGTCCGCTCCTTGGTTGTTACTGCGCCTGGTACTCACGACAAATCGGAGAGATCCACTTGGCACTGGCATCTCTGAAGCAGTATTTTGTACCCAACATCTTGGGCTAAGTACAGACATTCAAAGAGCCCAAGGCAGAAGTGCTTGAAGTAAAGCACTTTACTTAAAGTGCTCTAGATTAGGTCAGGACAGAATAGGACACACATGCGCTGTTCGGTGCGGGGGGGACTCAGAGGCTGCCTGCAGTGGCTGAGGCCAGCAGGCTGGGGGTGTTTCTGCATGCCTCCCAGGAGAATGCCAAGCCCAGCCAAGCCCAGGTTGTGGGCACAGGTCTTGGTGGGGGCCAGGCTGGTCTGCACAGCAGAGGGGCTTCATTGCCTCAGCTGCAGCCAGGAGCTGCAGCTCCTGGATGCACTGCTTTTTCACCAGGAAATGTGGCTGGGGGAGGGAGTGAAGAGAAACCGCTCTGCCACATGGACCTGGACCTGGCCCCCATCAAGACCCGAGCCCACAAGTTGTGGGGGATACACATGACAGAGAGGCTCTGTTCCCCTACCCCCCTGCCTGGTCCGGCAGGGAGGAGACGGAGCCTTTTCTGTCTCCTCTCTGTGACAGCCCAGCGGGCAAAGCTGGGCTGCTGCCTGCCTGGAGCAGACAAGCAGTGGCCGAGGATAGCAAGGCACCCAGTGAGGGGCTTCGGGATGCCAGCAGAACGAGTCCTACTTTGACTCAGGATGGGATGCAATACAGACGTTTGATAAAGTGCTCTAACCTAAAGTGCTTTATTCTGATACCACATCCATCCAGTGTTATCTTGGAGTGGGATCCACCATTTTTAAAGCACTTTATGTGCTATGAACTTCTCTTCAGTTACAGTTTAGAGCACTTTCTGTACACTTAATGTATAGTAAGTGTAACCTATATACATGCCCTTGGATTGCAGCTCAGAGTCAGTAGACCCTGAATCTCTGCTCAGTCCACTCTCACAGTGAACTCCTATTGACCTTCAAGGAACATAAGGACCGAGCAGAGATTTCAGAGTTTCAGATCTACTCTGGATCATTTCCACACCTTCCTTCTGCCAAGTCAGGCTCTTCTTCAGGCCTATCTAGAACCCTTCCAGCTTTCTCAGCTCTTCCCCTGACACCCTCATAGTATCCTATTCTCTTAGGGTCCACAGACCTCCGGCTGATCACCCCAATAGGATGGTTCATTATTGCAATATAGTGCAACAAAAACAATGCAATACATTAGCTTACAGCTTCATCAGGGATTCATCCATGTGGTTATTTTTTTTCTTGTTGCAGCAGCCTGTGTTGAGAGTCAGGTATTCTCTTTGGTATATGAAGCTGTAGAACTTTACAATCCCAGAAACATATAGGAAATCCTAAATACATTCTTATTGTGTGGTCTGCTTTAGTCTACCAACAACAACATTCATGTAAAAATAAACAGAACACAGCTTTCAAAGACATCCTGCAGAGAATACTGCTCATTTTGTAGTGGAGGTTTAAATTTCTATGAGTCACTGCAATATGGAGCATGATCGTGAAGAAAGTTTCAATTGTTCTGCTTCAGTGATAGGGAATCTATAAGAATTATTAAGAAATTAATTTTATCCCTCTATCTCCAGTTTGGAAATAGTATTGGAATCCTTGACAGAATTCCAGCTCTGCATGTCTTTATCCAGGCAGGAAATATTCTCTGAACAAATAGTATTTTGGCACATCCATTTCATAAATCTGGTTGATGGCCAAAAGCAGGAATTACAGAAATATGTATTTCTTTTCTATCCACTAATTTTTATTTATTTATTTATATTTTATTCCTAATGCATTATGGCTCAGACCAAACTCAGTTCAACTCCTGGGCAAAACATTTTGGTTTGGTCTTAATGTAGTTTAACTGGCTCATTCATCCTGAGTTTTTCTTGCCACTAAGATAGACCCTTGACTTCAAACTGTGACTCATACCCAACCAAAAGCACAAGCTTCTGAACCCTGAAGGGGTTTGGGCCATAGAGCCAGGCTGGCTGGAACATATACTTACTTCTGTAATGCAAATATAAAATTAACAAGGACACTAATCTCTCTGGGTGCAGATACAAAACACGTTTATGTAGTAAACTGACTTTGCTATGCTATGAAAGCAGAGCAGACACAGGACACTGCCCTGTTATATGCTAAATTACTCAAATCCAGGGTACATTTATCCCTTGAAAAAAAATGCAGTAACTTTATTATGTGAGAAAGTTAGTACATGAACGCATCATATGTTTAGTCTCCCACTTGTTTTCATCCCCAGCTGCCCCACCACCTAACACCAGTTTACATAACAGCACCAACAACAGGCAATTACTTGCTAAAGTTGGCTGCATGCCCTCTCCTCACTTCAGAGTAAAATCTGGGATAAATTACTTTTTAGCAATTGTGTCATGTGTCCAAACCATATGATGGGTTGAAGAGGAACCTTAAACCCAAAGGCAGCAAAACATTGGGGAAGTTTAGATCTAGGTCTAGTTCTGCACTGAAGTGCTTGACTGCAATGGCAACTCACTTTCACACGCAGGCCTTTCTCCGCTTACTCGTGATCCAGGCACCTCTTCTCCACTCTCAAAGACACACCAACAGCTTTCCTCATCCTGGCTGCATTGCACTGGTGAGAAGCTCCCATTGTTCCCCTCACACTGGGGAATGTACCCTTTGCCGATTTCTCGTGAACTCATTTTGGGCTTCAGCATGCTACAGAGAGCAGGACCTTTAAAGACAAGAGAGTGACTATAAGGTGGGGAAAGCATAAAAAAGAAACTCTGGGCATCTGCAGAAATGAACTGCAGTAGTGGCTGCTATTGGTTTGAAACACCACACCTCGGACACACGATACTGCAATTTGGGGGCTTTTTATGGTCAAGAAAGATACTAAACATTGACTTGAGATCATAGTTAAGTTTGCATCAAAGTAGATACACAGCGGATACTACTATAACTACAAGATAAGCATAATAAAATGCAAGTTACTTGAATCTGCACAAAGTGAGTTTTGTATAAATATGTGACCCGGGCAAATACGATATTGATTATTTTTCTCTGGCTGTGTTCAAGTCCCTTGGCTCACTTTCCATTACCATTCTAGTTAATGAACTTTCCTAGTAGAGCTGGAGATGAAATAGGACAGAAATTAGGTCCAAAAATAACAAAATATAATGAAGTAATAATCTGGAGAAAAAAAAAAAAAAATCAAACTGTCATTTGAAGCATTTTGTTTTGAAAACTTAGAAAGGTGCTGTTTGGCTTTTGATATGTTTTTAATTAACATTTTACTTAATTTATAGTATGTGTATATTAATTAACATTTCTAAACAAAAAGTCATTTCAAACTGAAAAACAAAATTATTTAAAAAAAAACATTTTAAAAGCCCATCTTGACCATTTAAAATTGGGGTGGGGGAGAGGCATTTAAACTAGGATCTTCATCAAAAACAACTCTTTCCTTCAGACCGTTTTGTTTTTCTCAAATGAACATTTTCTGATGAAAGAAATGCTACATCAGAAAATTTCCAACCAGCTCCACTTACTCGCACAAATAGATCCCTCATATGCATTTTTAATATCTGTGAACAAGCAGGTACATGAGTAACTGTACGTGTCTGCATAATCCCAATTAATTTAATTCCAGTTTAAGGCAAAATTATTTAGGTTGGTTCTTACTTAATGTGATTATTTCATATAAATAAGTTACCCATGGATTTGATGAACTGAGAACTAAACTTCTAAACTTGTGTGATTTTTTTGAGGCCTATATATACTATTTATAAATCACCGTGATTGAAGTTGCTCAGTCGCAGGTCCTGAAATGGGGCTTTTGTCCCCTAACTTTGGCTGTGACATGCATGTACAGCTTGCTTTGAGCAAACTGCCTGGTCAGTGCAGGGTCCTCCCAGAGGTCTGAGCTCCCCGGCTGGTCCAAGAGGGGACCAAGCCAAATCCCTTCTTTCATACAGCTCAGGATCCTGGGGGTTGAGCGCTGGTGCTGCTACTCAGCCTCCCCCTTTGCCTGCTGCTGCATTCAGTGGGAGAGGGAGAGAGAGGAAGGGCTAAGAGCAGCAGCTTTAGAGCCACATGAAAGCAGGGCTCATAAGAACATGCGGCACAGTCAAAGGGGTGGGGTGTGACTGTATTGCTGTACCCCTCTGAAACCACCCCTGAAGTTGTAATAAGGATGCTGTCATATCATGGTTTGATTGTAGAACCATCCATTTGCTAACAGGGTTGTAAAGAAACTCTGCCGGGACAATAATGAGTCAGTAATGACCATCGAAAGAGAATCTAGTTTCTCCACCTTTGCTGCAGGAAGCAGACAAGAGAAAATCCCAGCAGCAGAACAAAGGAACCAAGGTATTGATCCTGCCTTTAAAAAAAGTGAGTCAAAGCATCGTAGCAATCATAGAAAGTTAGGGATGGAAAGGACCTTAAGAGGTCATCTAGTCTAACCCTCTGCTCGAAGCAGGACCAGTCCCAACTAGATCATCCCAGCCAACTTTGTCTAGACGGGTCTGAAAAACCTCCAAGGATGGAGCTTCCACCACCTCTCTGGGTAACCTGTTCCAGTGCTTTACTACCCTCTTTCGAATCCCGCTTCAAGTAATTGAAGGCGGCTATTAAATCCCCCCTCAGTCTTCTCTTCCCTAGACTAAATATGCCTAAATAATTCCCTCTGCCTCTCCACAGAAGTCATGTCCCCCAGCCCCCTCACCATTTTTGTTGCCCTCCACTGGACTCTCTCCAATTTGTCCACATCATTTCTGTAGTGGGGGGCCCAAAACTGGACACAGTACTACAGATATGGCCTCACCAGTGCTGAATAGAGGGGAAGAATCACTTCCCATGATCTGCTGACAACACGCCTACCAATGCAGCCCAGGATGCCGTTAGCCTTCTTGGCAACAAGGGCACAATGCTGGCTCGTATTCAGCTTATTGTCCACTATGACTCCTAGGACCTTTTCTGCAGAGCTGCTGCCCAGCCAGTCAGCCCCCAGCCTGTACTGGTGCATGGGACTGCTCCAGCCTAAGAGCAGGACTTTGCACTTGTCCTTATTGAACAACATGAGATTTCTTTTGGCCCAATCTGCCAACTTGTCTAGGTCACCCTGAATCCTAGCCCTACCCTCCAACATTCCCCCCAACTTGGTGTTATCTGCAAACTGGCTGAGGATGCACTCTATGCCATAAAGATATTAAACACACCTGGCCCCAGGACCAACCCCAAGGGCACTCCACTTGATCCTGGCTGCAAACTAGACATTGAGCAATTGGCTACTACCCTCTGAGCCTGATGATCCAGCCAATTTTCTATCCACCTTACATTCTATTCATCCAACCCGTACTTTCTTGGCTTGACTACAAGAACGTTTCATCATAGATGTTAGGGCCGGAAGGGACCTCAATAGATCATCGAGTCCGACCCCCTGCATAGGCAGAAAAGAGTGCTGGGTCTAGATGACCCCAGCTAGATGCATATCCAACCTCCTCTTGAAGACCCCCAGGGTAGGGGAGAGCACCACCTCCCTTGGGAGCCCATTCCAGACCTTGGCCACTCTAATTGTGAAGAAATTCTTCCTAATGCCCAGTCTAAATGTTGTGGGAGACCATATCAGAAACCTTGCTAAAGTCAAGGTATGTCACATCCACTGCACTTCCTGCATCACAGAGCCAGTCATCTCATCATAGAAGGCAATCAGGTTGGTCAGGCATGACTTGTCCCTGGTGAATCCATGCTGACTGTTCCTAATCACCTTCTCCAAGTGCTTAGAAATGGATTCCTTAAGGATCTGCTCCATGATCTATTTGGGGATTATGGTGAAGCTGACTGGTCTGTAGTTCCCTGGATCCTCCTTCTTCCCTTTCTTAAATATGGGCACTATACTATGTTTGCCCTTTTCCAATTGTCTGGGACCTCTCCTGATCACCATGAGTTTTCAAAGATGATGGCCAGTGGCTCTGCAATCACATCAGCCAACTCTCTCAGCACACTTGGGTGCATCCTGTCTGGCCCCATGTCCAGCATTTCTAAATAGTGCCTAACCTGTTCTTTTACCGCTGTTGGCTGATCACCTCCTCCCCAAACTGTGCTGCCCAGTGCAGTAGTCTGGGTGCTGACCTTGCCTGTGAAGACTAAGGTGAAAAAGGCATCGAGTACTTCTGCCTCTTCCTCATTATCTGTCACTAGGTTGCCTCCCTCATTCAGTAAGGGACCCACACTTTCCCTGATCCTCCTCTTGTTACTGACATACTTGTAGAAACTCTTCTTGTTACCCTCCACAATCCTTGCTAGCTGCAACTCCTGGCATCATAACATCTAGCCACACAAGAAGTAGGGGCAGAGGACAGGGTCATGCTCTCCTAACAAGGACTCCTGTTTAACTGCATCTCCAACACTGCAACAATCTCTTCATACCCTTGTCTGAGGCATGCTCTAGAGCATCAGGGAGTTGGAGAGGCACCCCTGGAGCAGCTTTCCCACCTCATTTTCAGGTCTGTTGCGTCTGGACAGAGAGCAGGTAGTGGGGGCTGTGTTTCTCAGAAACATCCTAAGTGCACTGGGGAAGCAATGCAGTTACTCCCTGCTGATACTTACACTGGGGGTTGCCATCTGAATCCTGGCTACTCCGCTGAAGCACATCTCCTGACATGGGATCCACACACTGAGCATCTGAGTCCAATTTCTGCAGCAAGGTATATTCACCAGTCTGAGAAGAACCAATTACAATATCACTGCCGAGCACAATACTTTTTCAAAAGGCTACTAATAATGCACACAGCATGTGCCAGAACCCACTTTCAAAAGTCCTGATTAATAGATGTTTGCTTAGGATTAAGTTTTCAGTTTTGCATTAAAAGAAAGCAGTGACAAGATGAACCTCCATAATCAGAGCTGCTATGATAGCCTGATTCCGCACAGGAAACCAGGCTCTAGCAGAAGCAGCTCTCATACATTTAAAAACTATTCATAGGACAATTGTATTTTTTAAAAATGTGAGTTTAAATGGCATGGTAGCCTTCACACCCTTCCAAAACTCCAGTCAAATGAATGGAAATCCCACTGGAGGTTTTTCTGGGGACAGATGGCACTGACTTCAGTCTCTCAGGTCCAACTTTTCACTGCTATTGGTAGAATACATTGGAATGGGCCACCTAAAAGTCAGTTAACTTAACTTTGCCACTGCGGTCTGAGAACAGAGCCATGTTATCCAGGGGAAGCTTGGCTGGGGAAAATACCTCAGAGAATACTATCCCTTCTCCATTACCCTGTGAACAACTTAAAACATCTCTGAAGGAGGATGACACGTTCTCCTGTGTGCACCAGACTTTGCTCAGAGGCCTGCCTCCCCTTTAGAGTGATGAGACGGCATGAATGGAGGAGTTTGGGAGCTCCTCTGCCCTGAAAATGCAAGTGCCCAGGACTTCAGAAGCAATAAGCTAGATGAGGAAAGCTCTCTCCCCTCCACCCTGCACACCTGGTCACATTAACTTGCCTCTAGACATGAGGGGATGAACAGGTCTGCAGGAGCAGTGTTGCATGGTGCTCCACTCTGCTTCCAGCTGGAAATCAAAGCATTGGCTCGAGACCGCTGACATGATGTCTGGCCTTTGAGAGAAAGAAAATATTAATTAATGCACCGTAATTACTGCACATGAAGTTTAGTACTTGGATAACGAAGTACTAAATCAATGTGTAGTAACTCATGCTACTGTGCAGTAGCACCAATACATGGGCTTTTCGTGATGCTTGCTGCACAGTAGCCTGTGACAGGGGCCATCTCAGGACCAGTCACCTACGTCAGGCTGCCCACCTGTCTAGGGCAGCTAACCTGTCTCTAAGCACCTAACTTTCCTGCCATGCCTTTGTTGCAATTAAAAAGAAGTTTTTTCCAGGCAAGAAGCTGCAAATTTAACACCCTGAGGACAACGGTGTAATACATGACTCCATAGCACCCCTACACTGTGTCCCGTGCCTCACAGATGGCATCCAAAAATTACTTCCTACTCCCCCAGCCCTATTGCTGGGCAGCACTCAGCCTCTGGCCCAAACTTGGCCTTAGGTGTCCTTAGATGTGCTCCAGCTACATGCCCCCTCACTGGGGCCTATGAATAGTCCTTCAGGCCCCCTTGGACCCTGCTGAAGGTAGCCTCTAGCAGCCACTTCACTCCCTCACTGAGGCTACTACTCTGTCCCCTTACAGGGGCCTCCCATCCCTCTAGGTGGACCTTGGCCCTGTCTCAGATGCCATTCGATAGGCCTGGACCCCCACCTCAGGCCCCATTCAGTGGACCTGGGTGCCTGTGCTTTTCTGTTGGGGTGTGCTCCTCTAGCCTTTCCCCTCTACAGGGTACCTGCAAGGCAGCGGGGGCTAAGGCTTTCCAACGCCCCATACTCACCTTTCACTAAGGAGGACAGGTGTGGCATTTCCTGGAAGCTGCCCTGCCATAAGCAGCCCCACCACACCATCCAACCCCAGCAGGGGTTTCAGGTTATGCCCGAGGACCAGGAACCTCCTCCATCCCCTTAGTTCCTACCCTTGACCTCCAGGTGTTCTGGGAGCAGCAATACTCTGGCTGAGAGGACTTTATCCTTTGGCTCCCCAGTTGCAACTGGCAGCCCTGCTCTTTGAGTCTGGTCTTATAACCTAGCTGCCTAGCCCTACACCAACCAGGTAGCCTCCTGACTGCCATGTGACCACATGATTGGGTCTTCTCCCACCTGCAGGCTGGTCTACAGCATGCTCAAGCTCTTAAAGTGGCAGGCACCAAAGATGCCCTGACACAAAGCCTAATACTACCATGCAACAGTGTATTAGCATGTTTTTTGCCCAGCGCACTACTGCAGAGTGTTATTAAGCTACTGTGCAGTTGACATCTCATGTAGATGTGCCCTTTGTGTACCAGCAAATGTTGCAAACCAAGCAGAATAAAGAGGTAATGGGACATTACCAAGCAGAATAAAGAGGTAATGGGACAATTCATTCCCAGAGTAATGTCACTGACTTCAAATGAGTTAGCCCAGAAATGAAAACAGACAGGTCCCCTCTGCTGGCCCCTGTTGAAAGGTGCTGGGAGTCTACAGATACAGCTGGAGTTGCACAGGAAACTAAAGGACAATCTATGTGGAAAACACCTCAGCAGAATGCTTAGCATTTTCATCCATGCTACAAGGAGACAGCAACCAGGTTTCAGTGTGTTTAAAGGATGAAAAAGAAAAATGGTTCTTTAGATAACAGAAGAATCTAGGAGGGCCTACGGGAAAAGAGACATCTCAGATGTAAATGGAACTATACTTTAATTAAACAAATCTGTTGTCAGTTCTCTGTAGCTCCAAGAGGGTTAGGAGATGACTCAGATTCTTACAACCAAAAACCTATGTCCCTTTTGCTTGAGTGTCAGTCTGGCTTCACTTAAGCAGATGCTTAGCTTCAATTGGTCTCATCACATAATTAAAGATGGGAATTATTCCAGTGCTTAAAAGTATTCCTGTGTATTATTGCAGTAGAATCACAAAGGACTGTTTGATGTTAGCAGCAAAGGACATCTGAAACTCAGCTGGGCACTTCTGATTCTATTCAGTACTAGGTTGCAGTGAATGTATAGGCTAATACAGTTCATGAAATTTTGAACTCCATAAAACAGAACACTTCCTTGAAAAATGATGCCCACTACTAAATCACATCAACATAAAGGGTAAATCAAGAAATCAAAAGGACTGACAAATATCTAAGGCAGCAGCACGCAGGCTCTTCCAGTTACAAAACAAAAGATCAAATTAAAACTCTTCCTTCAGTTTTCTTCTTTTGGTGTGGTTACGAGAAACTTGTGTTATGCTGCAGGCTACTTAGTAAATATCTCAGTAAAGATTCACATCTATCCTGCAACGCACTAATAAAAGCTAATAGCTTTTCTGTGTCAGCTAAGAATGCAGCAGGTGGAAAATGTAACTTACATGTTGGGAGTTGTGCTGAGCGTGCACGCAGAGAACCCGTGACATAACGTCCCCTCTCGTCCACACACCAGCAGTGACCTGGGCAAGATAACAGTAGCCTTAGTCTGGAAACTGTAAGTCCCTTGACTTGATTTATCATTAGCTAAGGTTGACCTGAACCCAAGGAGAACTGTAGTTATTGCTTTGCAGGAATACTGGGCATTATCTATAAGGCAGGGTTGTGATGAACATAACAGATTAGGCTAGCTGCTCTATCCAGATCACAGAAAAGCAGCTGTGCATAATACTTGCAAACACTGGCATTTCCAGTTCTGGTCCCCAATCAAGCTTAGAAATGCAGAAGCATGTGATTTTTTTTTTTTTTTTAATTCAAAAACTCACCCAAACTACCCAATTTCAAATTCTTACACCCAAATTCTTAATATCTTGATCATGCCACAGCCCAGTCCATGCAAGCCTATGGATATGCCAACTAAGACTAAACCTCAGTATCATGGCTCTAGTTTGTAGTTTAGCCAAAGATCCAGGGTGTTCCTTGTTTTGTCAGATATGGCTCAGGTGGCAAAAAGCAAATCCATTTATGAACCGTATAAGGCCCTGCCCTGGGCCCTGTTTAACTCTGTTTTACGACTGAGAGCATGTGGAGCATGTGCCACAGCTGTGGCAGTCAGGGACCACCCAGTGATTCCACCACAAGAAGTACAGTTAGTGGGCCATAATTTGGCCTAGTATCTTTACATTGTCTCTGTCGTCTTTCCCCTGGAAATGCAGATGTAACATACCAGTGGACAAAATAGTTTGGAGTAAGAAATAACCCCTGATGCCATTTCCTGTTTTGTTATGTTCAAATGCTATAGCTATGGCTAGGGACAGAAATTACACATAAACCCGTATAAGTGATTGGAAGCCAATTCAAATCTGTAATACAAGAGAAGTTCAGTGCACATAAACCACTTTCAAAATAGCCAAGACTGGTTTAAGATAAACCTGGATAGTTGTAGTATCAGACTTAACTGATAGGTTAAACTGGTTTATTGAACTACTGGTCCAGATCCCCTCCAGATTCAAGTTAACTCTCAATCCCCCAGCATCCCAGCATGCCTTGCATCCCCCCATTACTACAGGGTAGGAAGGCAAGCCTTTGGCCCAAGCTGTTTGCTTTAGCTGAGCAGGGAGACATGATCTAGCATCCCCCCCCAGCTTCAGGCCTGGGCCACTGCAGGCATGTGGCTGCATTTCTAGAATCAAAAGTGAATGGCTGCTCACTTGCTTATCGGTTCAATCTATGCAGTTTACACTAACCTACGGAGATTGAATCAATTCAGCCTCAGGCTTTTTGACTGTCAGCTCTTAGCCTATCTGACTTGCCTTTGCTCAGCTAATAAAAGCAGTAACACTTATTTTGCTAAAGGACCCTCACCAGTACTCTCATAGCATTGGACTGGTTCCCAGTTCCCCAGTCCATCACACTGGGGAACGTAAGGATGAAATCCCAAGAGCATGGCTTCTCCAGCAGAACTTCTTGAAATAAAACGATTCCTCCAGTAGAAATGCAGGGCTACAAAAAAAAAAAAAAAAAAAAAAAAGGCCAAATATTAGCGGAGCTGATAAAACACCTCATGTAATGGAAGCTATTTTAAAAATGGATGTTTACAGCACCTTACTCTAGTCCCTGTTTAGAAGGGGAAAAATCAGAAACCTTGGGAAACATAATGACTGATAAATATCCAGGTATTAATGGCACTCCCTGAGTTACATAACAATTCAGATCTACTTCTGGTGTAGGGAGATGAAACTCCTTTAACTATGATGGAGAAAATGCCATTTTCAGCAAGACTGAATTTGGCCTAGAAAGTTTTAGTACATAAAAATAATGTTGTGGGCTCATTTGTGCACTAAACTCTCGTAAGCAAAGACATTCATCTCAAAGGGTTCCCTATCAGTCCCAATTTACCAACTATACTAGGGCTGCTTTTCCTTCCAACCTACTTGATTGTGCAGCCAGTCGTACTGCATAATCACTGCCAGTCAATATTTTTTCAGAGAACATGGTCCCTGACTGAAAGGACTGAGTAAAATGCAGGAGGTCATGGTCCATCAACTGTATTCCTTTTGCCATTAAAAAGCTCTCTCCAAATGGGAAGTGGGAGCCATTTGAAGCTACGATGAGTTGCTCTGCTTCATCAATAAGCTGCATTGCTTCCTTTTTCATGCTTTCACATGCACCAGGGCCTGTTGATAGTAAAGGGGGTGAGTTTAGTATTTAGTTTTATTTTATCCAGGAGAGATTAGTACACTCACACTGGACAGCTTTAACATACTTTTGTTCCTTTGTAAGTGTGCATTGGTTTGCACTGTTTCACAAAGCACCTCTGTAGCAACACAAGGAAGCAAATGAGCGAAAAGAGCTCATTATTATAGTTTATTTGCAATCAGGGTGGATCCAGAGTGGGTGCAGTGCCATGGTCACACCTCATTTTGAGTGTGCCACACCTGAGCTTTCAACATGGATCTGGCTGGAGCCCCTGCTTTCAGCTCCTGAGCCCAGGAGGTGAACACTGCTGCTCATCCCCTCCTTTCCCCCACTTCTGAATCCAGCACAGAGAAAGGAGGGGAAGGGTAAGCTGAAGCAGCATTCACCCCCTGAGCTCTGGAGACTTGTGCAAGCAGGGCTGTAGCTAAACCCAGCTCTGGTCAGTTGGTGAACTTGGAGCTCACTGCTGACAACAAGCTCTAGCAGGAGCCCGCACTGACCAGGTAGAGAGCTCAGAGCTCACTGCACATGCAAGATGCAGCCAAAGTGGGGTGCACTCTGCTTTGCTCCATTCCCAGCTGTGTTACCAGGTACAACCTAAACATATTGAAAGATTCAGTCCCTTCCCTGAAGACTCAACCATCAGTAAAAAAAGAGGCAGCATACAAGCAAAGTGTCCAAGGTGATGATTGGCACACAGCTTCTCATTTCCATGTTTATATTCTTTGTTCAGATGCATTTGTTAAAATCAGGAACATAATGAATGAGCTGGCCAACCTGCTCTGCTAAGACAGCTCAGTACTAAATCTACCCCCCACCAGCCTTTGGAGTACACTGGAGTTCTCCAATATTCGTTCTCCAACTGGAGGTCTTCTAGCCATTGTCTTTCTCTCTTTCAACCTGAAAACTATGACAAAGTCTTTGAAAAAATTATCAAGGCTCACATTTGCGAGAGCCTGGCAGGACAAATTATGCTGAGGGGAAACCAGCACGGGTTCGTGGCAAGCAGATCGTGCCTGACCAATCTAGTCTCTTTTTATGACCAGGTTACGAAACGCCTGGACACAGGAGGAGGGGTGGATGCCGTATACTTAGACTTCAGGAAGGCCTTCGATACGGTATCCCACCCCATACTGGTGAACAAGTTAAGAGGCTGTGACTTGGATGGCTACACAGTCTGGTGGGTGGCGAATTGGCTAGAGGGTCGCACCCAGAGAGTCGTGGTGGATGGGTCGGTATCGACCTGGCAGGGTGTGGGCAGTGGGGTCCCGCAGGTTTCGGTCCTTGGACCGATACTCTTTAATGTCTTCATCAGCGACTTGGACGAGGGAGTGAAATGTACTCTGTCCAAGTTTGCAGATAACACAAAGCTATGGGGAGAAGTGGACACGCCGGAGGGCAGGGAACAGCTGCAAGCAGACCTGGACAGGTTGGACAAGTGGGCAGAAAACAACAGAATGCAATTCAACAAGGAGAAATGCAAGGTGCTGCACCTAGGGAGGAAAAATGTCCAGCACACCTACAGCCTAGGAAATGACCTGCTGGGTGTCACGGAAGTGGAAAGGGATCTTGGAGTCCTAGTGGACTCCAAGATGAACATGAGTTGGCAGTGTGACGAAGCCATCAGAAAAGCCAATGGCACTTTCTCATGCATCAGCAGATGCATGACAAATAGATCCAAAGAGGTGATACTTCCCCTCTATCGGGCACTGGTCAGACCGCAGTTGGAGTACTGCGTGAAATTCTGGGCGCCGCACTTCAAGAGGGATGCGGATAACCTGGAGAGGGTCCAGAGAAGGGCCACTCGTAAGGTTAGGGGCCTGCAGACCAAGCCCTACGAGGAGAGACTAGAGAAACTGGACCTTTTCAGCCTCCGCAAGAGAACATTGAGAGGCGACCTTGTGGCTGCCTATAAGTTCATCACGGGGGCACAGAAGGGAATTGGGGAGGTTTTATTCACCAAGGCGCCCCTGGGGGTTACAAGAAATAATGGCCACAAGCTAGCAGAGAACTCTTTCCTGCCTATGCAGGGGGTCGGACTCGATGATCTATTGAGGTCGCTTCCGACCCTAACATCTATGAATCTATGACATCATGCTGAACTATCCATATGCCCAAGTGATGTAAATATAGGATCCAGGTACTTTAGTGTGATGTGGACTACCTATGCAGGACCTTCAAAAGGTATGTCATGCTGGCTTACCTTTTACCTATCTTTTTCATGCTGACCTAACTATAGACTTCCATGGGAGTTTTACTGCCGACTTCATGACAATGAGTTGGGCCAATGTTGAATGCTTCTGAAAATCTCACATGAGCTACATATATTTAGCTACGAATATTTAGACTATTTATATGGTCCTCATTAATCTGGAATCTGACTACACTATGTTACTCTAGCCATGAATCAGAAAAATATTTAAGCATGTGCTTCATTTCAAGTCCTGTTGACTTCAGCAGAACTCAAGAACATGTTGAAATGCTTCACTTAATTGAGTTGTTTCCTGAATTAAAGTCCATAAAAGACTGACTAATAAGAACAGCAAAGAAAATTCCTCTCTCTGCTTTGCAGTTCCTTATTAAACTGTTTATTTTATCACTGTTAATATAAATGAACTTTCCATACAAGTATAAGCAAATCTTATTTCTGCATTTCATTCTTTATCTTTAAAAGACCCAACTGTGTTGGGTCAACCTTTTATCTGTAGATTTATTACGTTCAAATTTCAACATGGACTCTGACAAGAGTCACTCTTTACTACTGAAGTATGTAAACATGTCCTATATTTTATTTCTCCACTTCAATAAACTGCAGGGAGGGGGATCTCTTCTTTTCCAAAAACAAGTGCTCCCACATCTGGATGTTAGCATCTTAGCCATCAACAGACTCAATTACAACCCTTTACTTGACCTGTGGGAGTGATCGTCCTCAACTGTGAGGGATCACCAACAACGACGGATGCTAGCAGTATTGGTTGGGTCAGTGGGTCACTTATCTCCTACTGTGCAATATTTTAAAATACTTTTTCTTACCGGGATAAAGGAAGAGCCAGAAACTCTGTGTGATTACTTACATGCTGGCACTTTGTTCACCTCAGTCTTTGTTCCCTGCAGCTCTTCTCCTTTGTCATCAACACACCAACAATTGCGAAGTTCAAAGTGGCCTAAAAGGGCACTGAAATCAGTGTAGGACCCTGGGTAGTAGTTCAGCTGACCCTGCAGAAGCTGCCAAAATGTGTATGGGTCCAACAAAATGTTCTCTGATTCAATTGTTATACTGCCATCCAGGACTTCAACAGGAAGAGCATTAAAGGAAGGATACTTGGTGAATGCTGGGAAGATATTTTGGTGGCCAGCCTCATACAGATTCTTAACAAAAGCTGCAAAGCGTTGGGAAGATGTTTCTTTATATTCAGTTAGTATGTTGAAGAGGTCAGTAACAGGCAGAGTTTTGCCTTCATTGTTCTCACTGATCCATCTCTGGTACCATTCAAAGGCTTGCTCGGGAGGACCACTGCACTGCACCGGTCTCCAGTTACCATCAGTGCTGCACTGGGGGATGTAAACTCTGGAAATCTGGGACAGGGCACTTGTGTCTGACAACAGCAGTTGTACTGTCTCTAGGAAAACCTGACCAGCTGTTAACTGGCAAGGGCTTGGGCCTGGAGGGAAGAAAATACATAACTCAGTTATTTCAGGAATGCACTCTAGGCACATGACACAATCTCGCCTGGACACATTTGCTTTGCAAACACACTTACACAAATTGTTTGTTACTAATATGTGTTATTACAATGGGCATTGGGACAATTTGTGGTGTTTAAAAATGGGACCAAATCTTGAGATTTTTACCCCAAACCAGATTTTCACAATACCCATGTACCAAATGCCATAGACAGGAATTTAGAAAGATTTTCAGAAACAACCAAGCAGATTAGGTGCCCAACTCCATGGATTTCAATGGAAATCAATGAAAAGTAAGCACCTAATCCTACTTAGTGCCCACCTGCATTTTTTAATTTAATTACTGCAAAAATATGACCCATAGTCTTTAGACAGAGAAATTCTCACTCAACTAACTAAGCCCCATGGATAGCAATGGGATCACTTGTGTAGTAAAGCATTACTGAGCAGTAAAATAACACGGGCGAGGAGAATAGGGCACCTGCCCCAGGCACCAACCTGGGGAGGGAGGCAGAAAAGAAAGGCTGTGGCCACAGCTGCAAAATTGGTGGCAACCAAAAGTCACTGCTGCTCCCATGTGTGACAGCTACCAGTGCCACATCATCATGCCTCTGCCACCCAACTTCTTTCTCCCCCAGGAAAAAGAATTTCAATTCCTCAGAGACACAATGGACAAATTGGACCCAACTCTCACTATACTGGCACTTGCTACTGCAGGGTCAGCAAATAAAGTAAATGCAGCAGCTCATGTCCTCATGTGCAGCAGACTGCTATGAACCTAGATCGCTGGTAATCCCTGCTCTTTACTGGACAAGGCACCTCTTTGCTTCTCTTTATAGCCCAAACAGGCTCATAAATCCCTAAGTGCTCCAGGACACACATCATGGCTATGTGGGTCTGTTCAAAACTTTGCTATTATTTTCTAGCATTGAACTCTCCAAAGTGAGAGTTCAAGAAGTTAGGTAGGGGACTGTGCTCCTGGAACCTGTTCCCTCCTCTGGTCTGCAATTGTTTGAGTTCACTAAGCTTCAAGAGCCAATAAGACCTTTCCATTTAGGCAAGGCTAAGAAGGGCAGAGAGCTTTGTATTTTTTGTTTTACAGCTTCAATCCTACAGTTAGACCCAACATGGGGAATATCTAATCGTTACGGGTGTGCGAAGCTTTGATTGACGATTTGATTCAGAGAAGATTCAGCTCAGTTTGGAGGCTGAATCACCAAATTTGAATTGAATCGGGTGACCAAAAAAACCCTCTGAATCGATTCGGAGCCTCCGAATCAATTCAGAAAAGATTTGGAGATTCAGAAGGCAGTCTTTCAGGGGAACAGAAACTGAGAAGAGTGATGGGGAGTAAGGGAAGCAAGACTGACATCTGTAGCTGGCCAGTGACTGTGATCTTTCCCTGAGTCCCCTTCCAGTCACAGTTCTCAGGGGGAAGGGTGTAGAAACAGCATATAAGCCTCTTTCTGCAGCCTTTCTGTCCCTTTTGTGAGCTTTTTCTGCCTGAACAAAAGAGAGGTGGGCGGCTGGCCCAGAAACAGGTGGGTGGGTAAAGATCTAACCATCACCAGGAAGGCCCTCTGTTACAGGCTACTATCCCTGCTGTTTTCATCCAAATCTGCCTTAACACATGCAAATGACATGAGTTTAGCTTTCAGCAGTTTGAGGTGCAGTTTCCCAGAAACCCCTAAACCTATCTCCTTGAAACTTGGCAGGCTTCATGCCCTCAGAAGGAACTACCATCCCTGGTGGTTTCATCCAAATCTGACAAAAAATGACAAGGTTATAGGTATGTCATTAATTCCCCATTATAGTCTATGGCCAAATCACGAAATCTGTCCAAATCAACACTGAATCTTTAGAAACCGATTTGGCTGAATTGATTTGGGACAGTAATCCGAATCTCCAAATCGAATCACTGTTCTCCAAATCAAATACTTCCCTATTCTCACACGCCTACTAATCATCTGTCCCACTTAGGTTTTCCACTCATTGATCTGAACTATGTGACTTGCATTAACAGTGTGTTAGCTTTTGTCTCCTCCTGGATGGTCCACACAAGAACTTCAGCCTCCTGTAATGTCCTAAATTGGAGGATATAATCCTTTATCTCATGAAATAGAAATTTGTGATTTTGCCTCTGAAGGTTCTGGTCCATCAACTCCTGCCTTCAGCTTATGGACGGTCTGCGACAGCCACAGATTACAGCAAAAGCTGTGTTAAGCTTAAGTAGCTGGAAAACTCTGCTAACCGGCATTCGAGGGACGTGGAAAAGTGAAACTGGAAGTACCGCTTCCGGGGGACTTCCCATTTTGCTGCCGTGAGCCGAGTTTTTCTTTGCCACTTCTTCGGCACATGGCCCAGGGCAAAGGAGCCTGTGTGGGCTAACTAGCCATAACATAAGGTAGCCACATGCACTTCAACAAGGCTAGAACTGAGGAACATGGTCATTAACAAGGATAGAGCTTGGATCGTTCTGCTCTGTATGTGTGGGCTCTGCTCACTTCTGCTAGGGGGAAAATCTTCCTTACGTCTCAGCTTGCCAGGGGTTATGCACTCTGGAATTCCTGGACTACTAGAAATCTACAGAAAACGAAGTCTGATGTTCTACCCAGCACAGGGATATGGTGCTCCCACACACTAGCATACCTTTCCAGTCTCTAGCAGAACAAGAAAACACAAATAGAGCCCCTTCAAAATGTGCAAAAAAAACCCCAAACACCCATCAGATACCAAACCCCAGACTCACACTGCATGGGCTTTCCAGCTTTTCTTTTTGTTCCTGGAATAGTCCTGCCATCCAAATCAACACAAAAGCAATCTGGTCCATGACACTGGACTGGTAGAAAATCTCCTTCCTCAGTACAAGTGGGAATAAATGGATCAGACCCCGCTGGCTGGCTTTGCTTCAAGCTTTGCAGACGACTTCTTTGCTTCTCACATGTACTGGCACACCTCGGACGTTTGCCTTGAACTCTTGAGCCTGGGACCTCCCTTCCTTGTGAGTCCACACACCAGCACTCAGCTGCATAGCACTGGATTTCCTCATATCTCCCTTCCTTGGTGCATGTTGGAACAAACAAATTGCTGGACTCCTCAGTACAGTCTTTGGACCTCAAAACTATTCTCACAACTTCCCCTAAATCTTCAGAGATGTCTTCAGGGACAAAAATAACATGTTGTAAAAAGGTAAAAAACTCTGGAAGTTCCAGCACGGAAGCAAGAAATTTCATTGCGTTCTGATTGTCTTGCAAACTAACAGTGCGGCCAAAACTGTCCACAAGAGGTTTACTCGTAATGAAGCTCTCCTCTGATGTTTCCAGTGAAGGCTCCTCTGCTAATTTTGCAACGCTCTCTCCACTATCCATTCCTCCTTGCTGGGAAAACTGGCCAATGTTGAATTTCCCTCTAGTGCCGAGAGCTCCTGTAAAGTTAAACTGGATCAGGTTCTTCAAGAATTTTCCTCCAAAGAGATTTTCTTGGAAGCGCTTGGGATTGGAGGTGAACTGAAGAGCAACTTGAGCCAACTCCCTGGATGGAAACATGCCTCTGACAGCTTCACTGAGGACTGATTCAAGCTCAAGCAGCTGATTGAGACCTGGCCTTTCTGTAAGAGGAGACAGCAACCCAGAATCCACAAACAACTCTTTGAAGGAAGGAGGACAAGATTTTGAGAATCTGCCTATTTCCTCTGCCTTCATTTCTTGGGTGTTGAATAAACTATGCTGGCTAAAGTGTCCAACAGGTCCATAAAAAAGCTTGGAGAGAGCCTGCCTTCTCTCCGAGATACATGTTTGTTCTTCACCTAGACAAAGGAAAACAAGGAGATAGACATTTTAGAAACCCAGAAACCTGCTGCATCACTGTTGCCTTTCATGGCACTTTGACCCAAGCTCTCTGATCAGGTCTTACCTTTAACTTTCATCCTTTACCTTTGACCCTGGCTCACGCTCCTGCTTTTTTGTTTTGCTCTCTCACATACTTGGTTATCTTGGCTGCCCTTCCTCATGTGTAGGCCTTCTCCTTTACTGCTGGTAAGATCTATCTACTCCTTCCTATGGTTCCAGCAGGCCACCACCTCATTCTAATCTCTCATCTTGATACCCCTCTCGCTCGTCATCCTTTCACCTACGTTCCTGTTCCTGGGGTTGAACTCCTGGTATGTCTGTATAGACTCTGACGTGAGCCCAGGGGAGCAGTCAGGAGATAAGCCTGTCAAACTCCCACCCAGTCTGCTCATGTCTGAGCACGCACATCAGGCAGAACTGATGTCAAACATGGAGAGCTGGGGCACATGTTTAGGGCCAAGTACCTGAGCTATTTACTTGGCCTAATTTTCAGCCTCCATCATTCCCAGAGGAGGCCAGGCTTACTCTTAGGGGTGCTCCGGGCCTCACTCCAGAGGCCAAACAGACATAACCTCATTTTCTTATAATTAGCAAATCATTGCACTTTCAGAGCAAGACGACTCCATATTTTCAGTTGTGCTTTTGGTTGACGTGTCTTTGAGAGACTCGTGTTTCCCTATGGGAACCAAACAGGCCATCACTAACTTCACATCCTCCTAAGTGTCAACACCTAGAAGAACATGTTGAGATCTCTCCTGTGCTGTGCCTGGGAGTGACCCCATGCAGAAGGACTTGTCCACTAACTCCTTGCTCTTCCGGCTCCATATACTAGAGACAAGGCAGAGCAGGCATCTGAGAGTGGCCCCGAATGTGCACCAATACACCTGCTCAAGCCAGAGACCGTAGGAACCTCTCATGGTTCACACATGCAGTGCTGCTTGGACGCAGCTCCACTGTCTCTATTTCAGGAGCCGACATGCACCAAGCCGGACAGGAGGGTGGGTGCACTTCATGGTACAGCAGCAATACAGACCCTCCCCACACAAGCAGCAGTATCAATCGAGCATCACGTTTCTTCAATGCTGTTTTCCTTCCCACTGAACCAAATCGCCCGAGTGTGAATAGAAGAGGCAGACAAAGCCCCCTTCTGATAGAAGAGAGTCAATTTAAAACAAAATAAAGAGGGACTATCACATCACACGTAGCTGCCCGAGCGCAGACTATCTAAGAATAATACGTCCTTGTGAAAATTCCTTTTCAGCGGTTAGACTGCAAAGCTGCCAAAGTAGCCTCCCGGCTTAGATTTCCTGAGTCTGCCAATAAAAGCTGCGTGGCCTAATTGCAAGCAGCCTCAAGTCAAGTCACAGAAACCATCAGAAGCAGTCAGCAGAGCACGCTCGGCGAAAACAACGAGTCCTGACATATGGAGAGGCCTCTCCGAGGTTGCCTTGCAATATCCTTGCTGATCAGCCTGGAGGGCACACAACCATTTTCATTTTACAGTAAGCCTGTCTTGGCCTAAAGTATTTAGTGACTGCTTCATGAGTGACACCCAGAATAGATCATTTCTTTGCCTATATAGCATGTCTATGGTCTGAGAGACAGAAATTAACTTCCCCAAAGGCTACCTGTCTTAAGCCCCTGCACCCCTCCCCTCCCACATAAATTCAGGCATTTATCCTTACTTTGTTTTTAAACAAATCATCTCCACCCCTGTTTGACCCATTAGCACCTTCTGCTGTCATCTTCTATTCCAGTCTCTGACTTGATGCTTTATTTGGAATATCTCCCTCTTTTCACAACGTGGACATCCACACACCTTTTCTTCATTTGCTTTTATCAGATTTGACAAACTTCACAGTCAAACACCACAGGGACAAAGATGAGGAACAACTTGACCAGACAGCTAGACAGACACCACAGAAGCAATGCAACACCACACCAGAAGCTTCACTATACAGGAGGGTCAAACCACATAAAATGATGCTGATGACACTGTGTATCACAAGCACTGGGATTTGAAGTGCACTTTATTAAATATTTGGCTCCTGGAGTCAGGTGATTGCATGTGAATCTTGATCTTTGTTCAAAATGACAGTGATTTTCTGGCTTTCATGGTCAAAGAGATAAGCTTCAGAATGTGAACTTGAAGGGTATGTCTGTGCCATTTTTCTAGCATATCCCCGAGTATGCTCTACCTACCCGTTCCTGCTCACCAAATTTAGATATGTAGCAGTGAAGCCACTTTGAGGATGTGTGAGAGTGGGAACTAGTGCTTGGGGATGTTCCTGCTAGATTATGCTGGGATGTTGTGGATGTACATTAAAGACCTCGAAAATCAGGAGAGAAACTAAAAAGAACCTAACATCCATTTTTACTTTCTTTTATACATTCAGAAAGAAAGAAAGAATTATAGAAGAAAGTCAGGCAGAAGGGCAGGGCAGAGCTTGTATTAGAGATGACAGAACTCTGCAGCATGACCATGAGGTTTTATCCCAACATCTATATGAAACTTCCAGAACTGAGAAATAGGAGCATGTGCATGAGCGTGTGCACATACGTGAGAAAGAGAGAGAAAGAACCTGTATTTTACATGAGAAGAAGCATTGGTTTGTTAACCTGATAACTACAATACCTACCACAAACTGGAAGCTGCCCTTGCCTTCTTGTTCCCTGAAACTCCTGCCCCTTGTTACCCACACACCAGCACTGCCCATCCTGCTGGCACTGCAGTGGGTTATAGTCTCCATGATCATCACAAGACGGCTTGTACGTGTGCCCAAAGCGAACAGCTGTCGACCTCTCAACCTCACATTTAGAGGGGCCTATAAGAGAAATGCTGTGTGTTAAGGAGGAGCAGAATGAGATGCTGAAGAAAATCTTCCTTTTATTGAGCCTGAAAAACCCTTTGATCATTTTTCCGTGAAGATCCCAAAATCCCAGCCTGAGGGCTCTATTTTTGTTCTTATTCTTTTTGTTAAATTCATTCTCGAAAAAAACCACGAACAACAAACGCTGTGACACACTTGACAGTCATTGCAATACCACTGCAGACAAAGTAATTGCTCATTCGATATTCTACATTGCAAGGCTGCAACGGGGTTGGGCTTTTAAAGTTAATTTAAGAATAATGAACTAATCCATTAAGTTCAGCAGCTTGCTCATAGTTCTTGTTTGAGGTGGGGTTCTCCACCTGCCATTTGTAATGCACCCACCCAGCACACGTAGTTGTGCCTTCCGCTACTGGCCGTTAGAGCAGGAGACACAATCGAAGTCCCTGCTTTGCTCTCCACTGACAACTTAAATGGGTTGTTAAGATGCACACAGGATTTACTTCATAGCACTGCACGTGGGAAGGGGGAAAATGCCTTCCTGACCCACAAAAATAGATTAAACACCAGAAACGTGGCAAGCTGATGCTCCCCAGTTCAGCACCTGAGCTCAAGAAATAGCAGCTCACAGGGGCATAGATAAAAGGGGGGCAGGGGGGCAACTGACTGAACACCACTTGTTCAGAGCAGCTAAGCATTGATCCCTAAGCCATGCTCCATGATCCCCCACCCTTGGGCACCCTCCTACTGCCACTCTGCCCAGAGAGCACTCCCCCTCTGGCAAGCCATAGTCTCCCAACAACCAGGCTCCACACCACCCTGTTACCCGTGCAAAAGAGGCCACCTGAGGATTTTGACCCACCAGCAGTCCATCTACACTGCTGGTAGCTCATACCAGCATTCACGGAGCTCCTCAGTTCAGGACCAGTTTGTCTGCCACCCTGGCAGCCGTCACTCTTGAGTTCCCATATTTCTCCAAAATTCCCAGAGCTCCAGTTTGGTGCTACTTACAGCGAAACCTGCCCAAGGCAGCCAGCTGCACCCCCAGAAACCTCCTCTGAAGAATCCGATACATGGTGGTCTCAGCGAAGGTGAGGGCAGGCTCCAGCGCAGAGAAAATTGTGTCGTAAACTTCTTCAAGCAGCAGTTCCAATCCTGGGAGTAAAGAGAGCCTTTTAGCCCAGGGTTCCCCTTTTAAAATGAGAGATTTCACCTCCTATTTCATGAAGGCCAGAAACACATGCACTCCTGCACTGATCAAGAAACAGGGATTTATGCAGTACAGCTACTCCTCGTTTAACATCATAGTTACATTCTTGAAAAATGTGACTTTAAGCAAAATGATGTTAAGCAAATCTGATTACATCACAGTAGTTACCTACTAGCAGATGGTGGCCAAACAACATTATAATCGAAAACTGTGTGACTTTATAAACAAGTATGTTCTCTAATAGACCAGTGACGTAACAACGAGATAACATTAACCGGGATGACGTTAAGTAAGAAATACCAGTATGCACCACAAGGCAATTCCCTGTGCCACAGGCTGGGTTGGGCTGGTTTTCAGTAGCCTACCTACCAAGTACAGGTTTCTCTTGCCTACCACGGTTTTGCCAACCACAGGTTTGAGTGTCCATGCTTAATATTCTATGTACCATTTTAGCTACCATGATATACAGTTTTGAGTAACCATGGTTTTCCATGGCCGTGCATCAGCCCACCACCTGCCTTTTTTCCCATAAGCCTTTTGTCTTGCCAACCGTGGTTTTGCCAACCACGGGAACTTTCAGGAACCTAACCCCAACGGTTGGCGGGGGAAACCTCTATTGCGAACTGGTAGCTGCAACTTCACAATCCAACCTTCCCTTTAAAGCAGGGGTGCCAAACTTATAGCCCCAGGCCAGATTCAGCTCATGGAGCCATTCCATGTAGCTCACTGGGCTACCAGAAATTGGAAGTAGGGGGAAAATAGGGGCATGTCCTGCTGCAGAATTGCTGCTGATAGAAAATGCTACTGGTGGCAGCGGCGAGACAGGCAAAGGCTGGGCAGATGCATCCCCCACCACTGTACTGGAGCTGACAAGCTGCTGCTGGCCCTGGAAGAAGCCCCTGCAGTTCAGATGCAGCCAAGGAGCCATGGTGAGTTTGATACCCCTGATTAAAGGAAAAGTATCTAGCTATTATGGATGTGGAGACAACCAAATGGTTAGCCAGAAGTAAACAGATACAGTGGTACCTGCTGGAGTCTGAAACCACTTTTCTTATTCATCTCAATTGAGTGCTGAGAGTTTTCTGGTGAGCTTAAGATTCTTCCACTCTCTCTCTTCCCCTCACTGTTGAGAGATGAGCTTTAAACTCACTGGACTGCTCACTGAACAGCCAGGAGAGCAGTGTATCCCACGCCCTGATCTTCCTGGAAGGTCCCCGATTGCAAAATGTGTCATGTACCATTCAATGGGAAAGCACCCTATGTTTTCTCACAGGCAAAGGCAATTCCCACTCTTACAGGGAAGGCTGTAGGTCGCTCACCAGGTCTGTGGTGTTCCAAGGAGAGCGCTAATAAGATTACTAACCATGATGGTGACTCTCTCTTAAGGACTGTGGCCAGTAGGGACTAGACAGTCAACTCTATCAAGAGACTCCCTGGGACTGTTACCATCAGGTAGTAACTGCATTCATTGCCAATGATTGGTGCTATTCCTAGGGGAGAAATGTGCCTTTCTGTGAAATAATTTAGCTAGTGATTTCCAATTCCAACTGGTCCTGCCATGAAAATTAGCTGCATGGCCCGGTACTATGACGTAGCGACCTAGGCATTATATAGCTGTCTGTCTGCCCTCTTCCGAGGCACTTACCAGTTTCTGCTAATTCCCTCCCTAGGCTGTCAGCACAGTAACAGTACCCAGAGACCCCTGGGAACATGCTTCTGAAGGAGCTGAAAGTCTGGAATGCTTCTGGGAACCTAAAAGAAAATGCAGATTGTTACAAAAAGGAGAGTTTACACAGACTGTTTGATGATGATAAAGAAATGTTAGTGCTTCTCCCAGGATTTCTATTGCAGGGATCTTTGCACAGCCCAAAGTCCTTATGGGCCTGGTTATGTCACAGCAAAACTCGAATGAGATCCAAATGTCAGGGTTTCCTCTTATTACTGAAGCTCTATGCTGTGAAACTGTGTCCTCCAATCAGGATACATCCAAAATTGTCACATTCATTATATGCACCTAAACCTTCCCTTTATACAGCCTTTTTGACAACAAAGCAGCAGCGTTAAGAACCGACAAGCCCTCTCCTGAATAACAGACGTCAAAACATTTAAATAAGGAAAAGGCAATGGTGTCACATCTCGACAGATTTCAGTTCACTGTAACCACTTAATACACAATGATGATGAGGGCAGTCAGCATGCTGCTAGCTAATTTTCAATCATATCCCCATCTTCGAAAGATTGTCAAAGATTGTAAAATACATGTTGGTTTACTTAATTCATTTATACATACCTATTCATTTGCTGTTTTCCACAAATCCTCAGGAGATGGCAGAAAGCCTACATAAACAGGTTGCTTCCCTTTCCACCCCGCCCCAGCACATCTACTTTCTCCAGTGAATTAAGCAGGGAACAGCTGATAAAAACCTCACTAATCTGTTACATTGGGAGAACAAGGCTCCATGAATTAAAGGGAGAGTTTATGTTTTAAAGAATATTACAAATGATATGATATTACCTCTTATTTCTGGAGATCAAAGGGTCTTTTGATGCTTTAAAAATATGCTAATAGTGATGATAACCAGATCCTAGCAAAGCAGAGACTTAAATAGGAAATTTAACTTGGACAGAGTTGGGAGAAAAAATGTATATGATAAATGTGACCTTAACTGATGGATGACCTAAAGCACCTTCAATCAGAAAGAAGATAAATCTTTCAAGGTCCAGGCAAGGTCATTATGGCAAATGAAAGAATTTCACCAAGTTCCCTTGCAACAAGATTAGCATTATATAGGATACGTATGATCCAGGCACACACCTTCCAGCTACATGGAAGCACATAGTGAAATTCAGTAAAGGGGTATGTAATGCATTGCATCAGGAGATAAAAGGGCCAGCCTTCCTAGACAGGCTTTTAACAATGATGGATAATTTTAAAAACTGAAATGTTGTATTGCAGGACAGGTACCACGGTGACAGGTGCAACGGGAGGAAGGAAGGGAGGGAGATTAATTTAGGCCACGTCCTGGGATGCTGGAGAGGGGTTCTGGGCCAAAATAATTTTAAATTCTCCTTTCCACTCTACGTAAGCCCCTGTAGCTAGACAGAGCTAGCTTTTCATGCCAGGTGACAGTAGTCTTAGGGCTATTCTAATTCATGCCAGCCTACAACCTTCTCAAGAAACTAAAAAGGCAGCCAAGGATCAGGCTGACATAGCTTTGCTCCTAGCATGTAAAGTGGTGGGAGATTCCCTCTTTTACCACTGGATGGAACTTAGATTTGGGACCAAGCCTTCCTGGATCACCTTTGGACACTGTTTCTGTTGGTGGGCGAGTCCTACCTCAAGACAGTCCATCCCACTGATAATAATAATTGCATGATAAGGGTGTCCACCTCTCATGCTCCAGGGCACAAATGGATTATTGATGGGATGAGGAAGGAATTTGTTTATAGACTATTGCATTTTTTAAGGCCAGAAGAGATCATTGTGATCATGTGGTTTGACCTACTGCAAAATAAATTCTTCCCCTTGTCCTCCCCATACAGTGTGGCATAACAGACTGTACATTTTAGGAGCTTTCATCTTCTTCTGACCAAGAGGCAGGTCAGCACAGCTGATAAACAAAAAGAGTAACCTTGTATGGAACATTTTTTATACTTATGAGATTAGCGCAACTATATCCACTGGAAGACTCAGCCTCTTAGACTGGGGCCATCTCCAGGGCATCTGAACATGTAGATCTTTGAAACAGGCTGCTGTGTAAATGATTTTTGTAGTTCACCTTGTTCGGGATTCAACTTTCTAAAATATAGTTACCAAATTACATTGCATTGGATGTGTGGCTAGACATGCAGTCATACCTTGGGGTTGGTTATTTTTGTCATGAGCTGACAGTATGGTTAAATAAGATGCCAAAGGTATAAATTAAGCCCCCACAAACATGTGGATAAGACTTCACATGCCTGGCTTTGAAAATCCACTCTTAAATTCTCTGGTTCTTTTTTTCTTAACCATTGTTCCAGCAACGGGTAATAGCAAACAGGCTGGACTTTAATTCTCAAGGCCTGTCACAAAAGTGGCTACAGCAACTGTGACTCTACTTAAGGGGGTCAGAACCATGACTTTAAACACATTTATTTGATAAGTGTTTTGAAATAAGCAGATGTGCATAGAAAATGAGAAGGGAAAGGAGATAAATAATACGGATTTGCAGGCACCATCCCTGAGAGTGGGGCTCTGAACTTCACTTGCAACAAAGATAAGTTTTTGATTTTTAAGATTGGTTTTAAAAAGGCCTTTCCTACCTTCAAACAATGCAATGCAAATCATATGCACTCCTACACAGTGCCAGCTAGCAAGCTACGGAAGAGCAACTGAATTGTGCTCCATAGATCAACAACAGAATATTGTACAGAGGGGAAAGTCCTAAAAAGAGCTATAACAATTAACCTCAGCTGAGAATCTTCATTGTGGAAAATGAATTGCACAAATCAACAGAAAGAAAATAGGTTGATTTTTCAGATCTCACGCTCTCTTACTAGTCTACCTGAGGGTTCGATGCTACTGCTTGTCACTGTCACAGCTGAGTACCTTCCACACAGGATGAACAGCAATAGCAAAATCCCTAAAAGGGCCTCATGGAGTCTCAAGTCCTTTCTCTTTTCAGTGCAAAAATGCAGCTTGGGGATATGGTTCATAAGGGGGGCGGTTAGATGTGATTTACTTTTCTTGAAATGCTGATTCATTTCAAGATCATTTGGTGGGGAAGGATCTTGGGGGCTGTTTTAGAAGGAAATGCCTGTCCACATTGTGCATTCCTTCTAATGGGCAAAAGAAATGATAGTCAGATACAGTCCCTGGGGCACTAGGCCAAGACTCAGGAGGCCCGGGTTCAAATCTCCGATACCACCCTGGGGGCTGGGAGTGTCGTACAACACCTTTGGCTCAACTTCCCATCGGCAAAATGATGGCTGCTGTGAGAGCAAACACATAAAAGGCTGAGAGGCAGTCTGGTAATGGGGTCAAATACTTAGCAACAGTTAGAAGCTGGCAGCAAAAAGCCACTTTCCTTTGGTTTATTAGGTGATGCGGAAGCTGCTAAAACCCAATTCTGTGACCCTTTTCCTGGCAAAGGTCCCAAGGAGAACAGCCAAATGTCATGTTAAAGCATAGATTTTTGCCCTGTTAGAAGGTCAGTACCCACCAGCCCACTAGAGAAATTGCCAACTTATTCTGCACTTGCCAAAATAGCCTATGACTCATTTGCCCTGGGCGTCTGGCCTGCCATGCAACACTTCAAGCAAAAGCGAAAGGACAAAACTTGAAAGAGTCAGATTCACATTTAAATGAGGATCTCTTCACTGCAGCTGGGCTCAGAAGAAGCACGTCATTCCGTTTATTCTACTGCCCTCTCGTGGAAAGAGCCAGTGGTTCTGAAGTCAGGACCAGTGAAGTATATTGGAAGGCAATTTTGCTTTCAACTAGAATAAGGCGAAGTTGGGACAGATTAAACTTGGACTCAACCTCAACAACATCTGTAGAAGGAAAGGGGCCCTGAATCTCTCCCCTTTTGCAAGCCCTCACATCTCCATGCACACATTACTTCCTTCCCTCTCCCAGCCCCACAAAGGGGCTGCAATTTCCTTGCCCCTTTGTGTGTTCTTCTGTAACGCGTTGTTTTAAATGCTCCAGTAGCCTGATCCAACCATTAAAAAACCCATGCATCCCTGTACTATGCCTTTCCCCTGCATCTCTCTTGTTTAGTGTCTTATCCCTTCAACCAACATTTCACTTTGGTACGAAAGTCTTCTGCTGTGCCATGTGGGACAGGCTCTTTGTTCATCCCCACCTCACCAACACGCCACTTGTTTCCAGATGCCAGCTGTATCTATCGTTCCAATTTTTTCGTTACCTCTTAATTTCTCTCCTCTCAGTGTTTTGCCCATTGTGTTCATAGGAAAGCAGGGCAGGAAGGGACCTCCTGAGATCAACTAGTCCAGCCCCCTGCTCAGGGCAAGATCATCCCCGATTAACCATCCCAGCCAAGTGTCTGTCTAACCTGCTCTTGAACATTTCCAAGGAAGCAGATTCCACAATCTCTTTAAGTAGCCTGTTCTGATACTTGATCACCCTCATAGTCAGACAGTTCCTCCCAATTTCCAGCCTAAATTTCCTCTGCTGTAATTTGAGGCCATTGCTTCTAATCCCGTCCCCTACAGCCACAGAAAAAAGCCCATCTCCATCATCTTTATAATTGCTCTTCAGGTAATTAAAGACTTATTAAATGCTCTCTCAGTCTTCTCTTCTCCAAACTAAATAACCCTGGCTCTTTCAGCCTTTCAAGCCATGTTTCCCAGGCCTCTAATCATTTTTGTCACTTTCTGCTAGACTCTTTTCAATCTGTTCGCACATTTCTTGAAGCGTAGGGCCCAAACCTGGACACAGTACCCCAGGTGAGACCTCACCACTGCCAGACAGAATGACAGAATCACTCCCTTTCATTTGCAAGTGACACTCCTTGCTGTTTTTTTCCTTGCAACAAAAGCATACTGTTGTCTCATATTTAGTTTATGGCCCATTGTAATCCCCAAGTCCGTCTCTGCAGGACTGTATTTGTGTATGCAATTATTCCACTGCAAGAACAAGACTGCACTTGTCCTTCCTGAATTTCATCTGGTTGATTCTGGATCATTCCTCCAGTTTATCAACGTCATGCTGGATCCTGGCCCCCACCTCAAGAGTGCCTGTGACTCCACCCAACTCGATGCCAACTGCAAATATGCTAGGTGTGCATTCAATCCCATCCTCTAAATCATAATGCAGATATTAACAATACCCGATCCAGGACAGATCCCTTGGGAACTCCACTCAATAGCTCCTCTCAACTAAACATTAAACCATTGATGACTACTTGTCAAGCATGATGATCCCACCAAATTTATTATTATTATTTCATTCCGGGTTATTTCACTCTGTTAAGCAGTGAAATTAAATCAAACACAAATCACGCTGTCATAACCATGAATATGTAAATACACTCTGGTTAGGTTGTCTAGAGTAAAGGACTCAAGGGCTAGTTTAGAAACTAGCCTTTACTGTATGAACGCACGTGGGTCTATTAGCTTTAAGGTAGTAGCTGACTAACATACAATTCTTTCCCTGGTCCAGCCACCAGAAGGAAACAGGGCTGGAATGGGTTAAAATGGAATGGGCAAGGAGATAAAGGCTTGAAGAGGTCTGCAGAATTACTATATAATTTCAGATTTACCTGTTATAACTGTGAACAAGATCAAAGACCATCATGTTGGTCATGTTGACAAATTTGCACTGAACAGGCAAAAATTCTCCGTCTGCTGAACACTGTGGTGGACTCCTGTCCCCAACTCCATGCAGAATACGACGGTCTCGGATCTCACAGCTCCCTGGACCTGAAAGCAAACACTTCAGTATTGTTGTGTGTTCATCTTCTGACTAGCACCTAGAGACCAGCCCCACAGTTTGGGTCTGAAGTTTCCAGTACATAGCATTTCTCCCCCTCAGGATTTCCATTCCCCTCATTCCGAACAGACCAAACTCACCCTTTGCTAAACTCTACTTACATTGGGTTGGTTTCCCTGTCTGCCTTGTGCCATAAATCTCCATCCCTTCTGAGTCCACACACCAGCATTGTCCCAGGCCCACGTCACACTGCACTGGAGCAAACTCCCCCGAATCCAAGCACTGAGGGATGTAGGAGATGGTGCTGCTGTTGATGTAGCGACTTACCAAGACCTGCTGCTTTTGCAGCTGACAGAAGGATAAACCTACAATACCAAAGAGGCATTGTTAAAAGAAGGTGCTTGTGAGGTCCATAAATCGCTTGTTTTTTTCAAGAAGGCAGTTGACTTTTGTATGAACTACACCAAACCAATGAATGGATTTAGTCACTCAGCAGCTTTGCCAAGGATGGTGATGGGCTATTGAAAGGGAGCCTGGGGGGAGTTTCCTACTAAATTCCCTCTTTGTCAGGGCCAGGAAGGGACATTCAAACCTGCTGTTATTCCAAGACAGATGCTCCCCCAGTGTCACCTGAAATCAGGCAAAACCTGGTGGCATCAGATGAATTTTATTCTGTGTTTTCAAGGCCAGATCATCATCAGCTAATATAAATTAGGATAGGCCTGTTGGAATCAATGAAGCCACGTGGATTTATGATCTGGACCTCAAAATCCAGACTCAAGGGAGTGAGGCCAGGTTAACAACATTAAACCAAAAGGCTAGGAGTGATGCAGCGCTGCTGCTATTTCAGTCATGTTGACTTACAGCCAATTATGGAAGGTCCTGTGGAGAGGCAAATTTGATATCCAGTTGTGCACTCTTTCTACAATAGCCAGGTGGCATTTTGTGGCCCATTTCCATGCTGGTTGGTCACAAGATCTAACACTAAAAGAATTTTGGACTGCCTGTACAGCAAGCTAGCTGACATCACCCATGGCATATCCAGGCATGATGCTCTACATGCTGGCTGGGCTTAGCTCTGGAAGAAAGATATGGCACTTAGAAAGCAAACAAGGGATTGACCATGGACCTGCCAGTGAAACAGTGGGAAGCTGCAAGGAAGCTTGCACTTCCCTAAGTGATTGCATTAATATCTGTTAGAAGCTATTTTGCATGTGCAATTTTGGCACCTACTTTTGATAATTTCAGCCTCACTTAGAGCCAAATAATGGAGGTCTGGGGCCCAAGGAACCTCTCTCCACACCCTTGTACTTTTTCATAAAACAGGCCATATGTTGGGACTTAAGAAAATAGGGGGACCTGGGTTAAAGGTAGAGTTTGTGCATCCTGAAATTATACCTTCTCCTTGCACAGGAAAGCTGCTACTGAAGCATCAGCCAGCCAGACTTCCCCCTGCAGCATGTATTCCATCCTCCACTATGGGCAATTGCCAGTGGCCTAGCCCATAAAATCTAACACTGAAAGAATCTGGGATTTCCTGTACAGTAAGTTAACTGATAGCAACCATGTCATACACATGCATGTTGCTCAACCTGCTGCATATAAAGACATTTTTCCCTGCCCCAAGCAGATTACAGCTAACTTAATTGTGTAAAGCCCAGCAGTGCATTGGTCAATGATTCTCCACCAGGGTGCCACAGCACCCTGGGGGTCCATGATCTTTTTAAGGGTGCTGCAGGTTGCATACACCTACACACGATTCACAACCCTTCCAAGAGATTTCAAATAGAAATTAATAGCATCCAAACCATTCTGACCTCCTGTGGGCTGAGTTTTTTGCAAAAGGGGAATTTCTCTATTATTTAAAAAGTGAAAGCAAAGAAGTGGCATTTTCCAAGCAGTATTTTGAGTCTAAAAAGGTGGAGAACCACTGGCATAGGTGCTCTACAGACACTGAACGTTTCTGGCTCCAAAGAGCTTACAATATAATGGTATGATCATACACCAGGCCACAAGTCAGCCCCTTGATTACATTGGTGTAACCGGCACAAATAGGGGCTGTTCACGTAAGTAAAGTTTGTGTGTACAGGTTCTAAGTCACTTAATTCAGAAATATGGATAAGTCACAAGAAGCCTGCTTTTCTTTTCACTGATTTCAGTGGCAAAACTGCTTGATTTTATTGGGTGCCAGGCTGGGCTCTCAATGGGTTTTCTAACCCTAGCCATGGTACTCACAGGATATGGGAACTCCACTCTGTTTACTGCCTGGTACTTCAGCTCCCTTGTCATCTACACACCAGCAGGAAAGGTCGTTCTTGCTGCACTGCACAGTCCTAAGGAAGCACACACACCACACGTTTTTTTATTAGCAACGCAACTGTCAATCTGTATGAAAAACACATGTAAAAAGGGAGGTTCTAATGCAAAAATCTAATGCAAAGACTGCAATAGCCTCAGAAAGAACAGTATTCTCAAAATGGTTTCTAGTCTATTCAAATCCACCAGATGGGAGATCTTCTGAATTCTAAAAAAAGACCCTCGAGTTTGTATTGAGTTCAGTGCTGGCAGGATCAGTGCCTACCAAAGCAATGTCTTCTATAATCCACAATACATTCACATTAGACATGGGCACGAGCTTAAAGCACAAGCCTGCACAGCCACAAGCTGTGGCAAGTCAAGATTCACTCTTTTAATAATGCATTCAGTTTTAATTGTAGGCTTTTCTAGAACACCCCTTCTCACTGTAGAGTGTGAGCCTCATGATACATTAATGAACTTGTATCATGAACAAACAAAATATTTAACACCAGTGAAATCAGTATTACCCTGGTGTAAAAAAAGTGCAAATGGAAGATACAAACACCCCCTAAACAGGGTAACTTTGCCTTCAGCAAGCAACTCTCCAGGATGGATGCAGACAGATGAAACCTAAATGTGTAATTTACACTGGTAAAATTTTAGCCCCGATTCTTTCAGGGGCAATTTTACACTGGATTGGGCAAACAGGATATTTTCTGCTTCCTCTACCACAGCTCCCACATCTGAGTGAGAATATAGTAATCCTATGGAGACCTTCCCCATTGTTTTGGGAACCCCTTGCTGCATAGTATGAATGAAATCTGGCACACTGTAACCACAGAGCACTCCAAACAAGAAGGAATCAAAACTCATGTCTCAGAGTCTGAGTCCAGAGCACAGCTGGCTGGCTGGGTAACCCCCACCCCTGCTGTGCCACACCATTAGGACTAACTGTAATGCAGGACTGGGTCTCAGGATGGCTAAGGGATTACATTACGTTACCGGAACTGGCCATCTTCTGAGCACTGGGGAACATGATCTTCTCCTTCCAGAAAGGCCTTTTCCCTCCGAAGCTCACATGGACGTAGAGGCTGGGATTCTGCCTGGTACTCTGTGTGCAGCCAAGTGGAAAGATCATTGCAGTTCCTCTGCTGGGCTGTGAACCTGCTCTCACCAAGCCAATGATCTACATGATGAAGCCCTAAATTCATAATTCTTCCCACGCATATAATCCCCTGCTATTTAGAGTCTAGTTTTACAATAGGACTTCACCTTCTTTGGTGGGACTGTCCCTGGTCTTGTAGACTCCAGTATAAGAAAAGTACATTATTCCAGATCCAAAGGAATTAAAAAAAAGTCACCAAATAGCATGGCGTGCTAAATAAAATCATGAGAGGTGACACAACTAGATAATCAGTCTTTAATATCCTGTGTTTGATTCATCAGTTACCAGTTCACCTCTAAACAGATCTTCCATCTTTGTAAAATTTAAATCTCTAAAGACCTCTAACTCAATATCATATCTGTCTCAGAGAAACAACATCAAGGAACATTAATACTATTCCATAATATACATTTAAGGTCTTATTGAATCCAAGTCAATAATTATTATTATGTTCCCTGAGGTATTAAATCTATTATTTTATTCAATTATTATTTATTATAAATATTCCAATGGCTGGAAGTTGGAGTCCAACCAATGGAGACTTATCTTGCTGGGATCCTTTGACCCTAGCTGACTTCCTGTCCCTGGGGTAGGGTGCTGGACTCGATGATTTTCTGAGGTCCCTTCCAGCCCTAATGTCTATGAAATCTATTAAATCAATCTGTATTAGAAATGCTGCCCATTTTTTAAATGGCAGGAATGATTAACCATTGGAAAAAAAATACCAAGAGAAGTGGTAGTTGTCCATCTTGAAGTCCCCAAAGGAACACGAGTCATCTTTCTGGAAGATATATGGTACTTCAGCTACATGGAAACTCTAGTTCAGTGGTCTCCAAGGTTTTTAAGTAGGAGAGCACCTTTGGCATTTAAAAGCAACCCAAGATCTACCATGCACCACCACCCCCACAGCAGTCTGTGGGGAGGGAAGGGTGGGGGTGGAGATCGGGAGATCGAGGCAGAGAAAAAAATATTTGGGTGTGCACCTCCCCAGCAGGTAAGTCCCACCAGCCCAGGGCCCCACTCAACTTACCCCTGCTCCTGCCTCTGCAGCACAGTCCCTCAGAGCGGGGCGCTTTGATCTAGCCCCTGCCCCTTCCTTTCCCCATGGATTGACCTGTTGGGTTGGGGCACGTGCATGCATGCATGCGGGCACTCAGTCCCCCACCCCAGTCTTGGATTGACTCCAAGAGGCTCCGAGATCTACCGGTGGATCAAGATCCACTGGTTGGTGACCACTGCTTTAGTTGCCATTAACAAAGTATCAAAGCTAAGAATCATTACAATCTGGCAGGAAATGCCATGGGACAGAGCATCAGCTGAAGTCAGCATATCTTTATAGAAATCCAACAGATGCTGGCATGGCCCAGCCAATAGGTCACTGAACTGGCTAGGACTCAGGAGATTGGGGTTCTGGTCCCTCCCATCACTGACCTGCACTGGGATTTTAATAACAATCTCTTTAACCTCCTCCTTTACAAGTCAATGCATCTCATTTACCTACTCCTTGGCATACTGATTGTTCTCTGCTATGGGTAGGTACAGCACAATGGAATTCACTCAGAGCCTTGAAATACTACTAGAATAAAAATAAATCATCCAAATCCAAACACCCAGTATTTATACCCAAAAGTTCGCAAAATATTTTTCCAACTATTTGAGTTGGTCTAATAAAAGATATCAGATTTACCCAAAGAACCTCATCTGCCTGGGTCTTAGAAAGCACTTTGGGCTGTGGTAGAACAGCTACTGCAGTGCAGCCATAAGTAGCTGCCAGAAGGGCATGTGCCAACCAGACAGGGGCAGCTGCCATCTGCTACCAGAACAAAGTAAGTACAGGGCAGACCTCAGATGCTCTGTCTGGGAATGCAGCAACCACTAGACCAACTGAGACAGAAGCACCTTGCTATGGTATATAAGGACTAAGTCCTGTTTCATTGTGCAATTGCCAAAACAATGGGCACCTTATCTCTTTTGAGTCTCAAGGTAACGCCATAATGCACCTGCTAGGCAGTGAAGCATCGATCCAAAGATCGGAGCAGTGTGGCGACAGGATGATACAAACCAAGGGAAAGAATGAATAAACTTACCAAAAATATTGGCTCCTGCTATGCTGATTAAGCAGAGAAGGGGACTAAGAAGGACAGGGCCCATCTTGTGATGCAGGAGCTATAACCTCTTCCTTAGCTGAAGGGGTAAGACCCTGCACAGCTCTGGGCTAGCCTCCCCCAGCCTTTTATAGAGCCATTGTTTGGACAGATTCACTTATGAGCTGGTAGACTGCCCACTAAATTGGGTGGATGACGCATGTTCTGCTTCTAAGAAACCCATTTGCCTGGAACGGCCCTGGTGCAATTCGTCAGCAAGCTCCAAGTCTTTCCCAGGAGGCACTAGAAATCCAGTCACCCGAAAGGAGAACAAACAGGTCAAGACTGCCAGCCGGAAAAGGAGGAGGCTGGAGGGTTCAATTAAACCAACACACAAATGGACTAAACCCAAAATGTCATCATGTTGAGCTTACCAGCTAAGCGCTGTGAACACCCAAACCAATTTACGCACTCAAGAACAGGGCTGAGTGAATGGAGGGTGCTACACTTTCAAGTCCTAAAAGGTATGCACCTTGAGGAGTGAACACTCCCATGTCATTTACCTCAAGTGCTCACTTCTTGAGCTTTATTTAATCTAAAGCAAAATATACTCAAATACATATATAGGTAGATCTACAGATATACCTAAATATAGATATATCCAAATACCTCTCTAAATATAGACAGATACAGATATACTCAACACATAATCAGTGCTCCAAAGCAAAGAACAATGCTTTTTGTACCCCCTGAAAATTATCCAGCTCCCCCTCACATTTCTCTGTGCCCACACAAAACAGCTTCAGGGTCAGTTTAGAACTGCATCAGTCATGGTGTTAAATGCACTTACTCAAGTAGAGCAATCTAGAGGCAAAAGCTAAACCTCCTCTTGGTCTGGCCTGTCCACCTATATTGCGAGCTCTTCTGCATAGGAACTGACTCCTATGTTGTGTCTATGCGGTGCCCACCAAAACAAGACCCAGCAGGAAATTGTCTGGAGGACCTATGGTCCAAGTTAAATGAGAAACAAGATGCTGGAGTTCTTTTCCAATGTCTGCCTTTTATTTCCACCACTTTTGATATGACCGTGAGAAAGTCACAGCATTTCTGTGTGCATCTAACAATCCGAACATTGTGTGGCACCTTGCAGCACCCTTGAAAAGATCTCAAGGCACCCTGGCTGAAAATATCTCATCTAGAGACTATATAAATTGAGCAGATGTTACTGGAGTGACAGGAAGAGGAACAAGCTACGCACATTGACAAAATGATTTACTGAAGCCACAAAACCTTTGAGAATAAATAATCTCAGTTTCTGTGCAGCCTCAAGCCTTCACCTGTTGGTGCTGCACACACTTTGCTCACACTTATACTTTATAGAAACAGCTTTTTGCAAAGTAGTGATGGGGTTTGCATGCAAAAATTCCTTTTTTTTCCCCCCATGAACACATGCCTGAAGTGTCTGACTATACATAGGTGACTTCCACTCATACTGGCCAAATCTGAGCTGCATTAATGTCAAACAAAATGGAAGTCTACAGGGTGAACCAGACAGAACTATCTGACTTTGTAACAGCAAACATTGCCAAGCAACACCGACACAGTGGCTGCTTTGTAAAGGTGTTGCTGCTTTCTAAATTTGTTAGATCAAAGATATTTATCACAGAGTGGAGAGCTTGCATGTGTGCACAGGTGGTGGGGGACAGGACATTTTAATTAAAGCGGTGGTTCCTGGGCAGCCGCTCCAATTAAAACACTGCAGTCACGTGTATTAAGCCCCCACATATGTAAAAATGGCTGTGGGATGCTTAATTTAAACCTCATTGGACAAGGTTTAGACAAAGTGCCCTGTGGCCATTTTAAAACATGCAGGGGCTTAATACATGCAACACTGGCGATGCTGCAAGGTTCTAATTAGAACCCAGAGCAAACTCAATTAATCAAATCTGCTCCAATGTGTTCTAATTAGAATGCCAACAAGCACATGTGCAAGTCTTACAGAAAGGGAAGCTGAACCTAGTTACCTTCCATGCAATGTCGATATCTAGATTCTGGATGAGATATTTGTCTGTTCAATTTCTCTCAGATTTTTTCCCCCTCACATTTTTTTAATCACCGTTTTATTTTGAAAATGAATAACCCCAGCTAAATTGAAAAATCACGCAATTAGAAAAATGCAACAGCAATGAAATAAAACAGCCTCACTAGGCAGTACTAATGTGTGTCATTTCATTACTTAGACGTTACACCGGGGGTGGGCACAAAGCAGCCCGCCAGGCCATTCTATCCACCCATGGGGTCCCTGAAAAATTTCGAAAATTAATATTTATCTGCCCGACTGCCTGTCATGCGGCCCTTGATGGCTTGCCAAAACTCAGTAAGCAGCCCTCCGCCCAAAATAATTGCCAACCCCTGTGTTAATTGCTCACCCCTGCGTTACACCCTTTCCAGACTCCCTAGAAGTGGAGATACAATGCTGAGAATTTGTTCGCTGTAATTTCGTGCTCATTCTAGTTTCCCGTTGGCTGCACGGAGGCTTCAGTCCTGTGGATACAGAACGTCCATGTCGGTATTTAAGCCTACTACTTTGTAGAGCAATATGGAGGGTATTTTGGTCTGGTAGAATGACTTTCATCTTGTGTATCCATTTGGAGACCACGTACAGTTTTCCAGGTTTCAGCTGTAGGTATATTTTAGATATTGTAGAGGCCAATATAAAAACCTGTATTTTAATCCATGCCCACCACTGAACAGGCAAAGAAAAAAATAATCCACTGGATTGGAAGTGAGACTACAGCAACAGGCTGATTAAGACAGTAAAAAAAAAAAAAATGCAATTCTGTACATTAAAAAAACCAAAATGGTGCAGCTACTTACACTGAGGTCTGAATTTGACTGTGAATATATTTTACATCTGACAACTCTGGTTGAAAGGAGGTATTAGAAAAGCTAAAAAGGTTTT